ACACACACACACACACACACACACACACACACTCACAGTGTTGATTTCATGCCATGCACCTGCTTTGCCTGAGTCCAGGTACCCACCCAACCAGCTCACATCAGACCCGAGATACAGGCAGACGACCGACACACCAACTCTCACATTGTCTGCATTCTGGTTTTTATTACATTTTAAGAAAGAAAAAAAAAACCTGCAGTGACAAGACGCTGGATTCTGTAAGTATTCACTTATTCACACATAAATCAACAAGTACTTTACTGTATTTTTCAGTCTTCGGTGGTGGATTTTTGTTGTTGTTTTGTTTTTTTTTTGTGGTTAGTTTCATGATATTTTCATGATAAAACCAGAAATGAACACAAAGCATTAATAACTTTCAAGAGAACGTACAAAGTCTTGGAGCAAAGTGTCATTATCATTTCTGTTGCACTCTAAAAAAATTACTGATGTGACAGTTCTGACAACGTCTGATGAAATTATGTTCAACCAGCAAACTATATTGACTTGGAGGAATTAGCTTTTCCTTTACAACTAAAGCTATTTTGAATTACTTCATGATAAGTAGCATAAACTTTCTTCCAACTGGCATTTCCACGTTATTTAAAAGGATTCTTTAGGTATTATGTACTTAATACCTATGACTCTGAAGTTTTTAAGTTGGTAAATTATTTTTAAAAATTAAAAAAAATAATAAAAAACTGCTCCAATCTTCAGTAGGGAGAGGAAAAAGTAAGATATCGAGCTAATTTAATTAAGTTACTTCAATTTGAATTAAGTTTTAAATCAGCTAACGCAGAAATTTGAGTTTAAATTACACACAATAATAAGTTGGTGCAACTTTATTGTGAAAATCCAACCCTTCAAAATAATGTTTGCAACTTAAAAATCTAAAACAGTAAATGATTTCTTTCTTTTTTTTTTTTTTTTTATCGCGCAAATATGCATTCAACTAAAAGTAGGTCACTTTTTAGTGCACAGACTTTGGTTTCATTTAAATGAGAAGTCAAAACCCTGCAAAGCAAACAAATTGAATGACGGCAAAACACCGGCACGCAAATCAGAGGAGATTAAGAAATTCAAAGATGTAGAAGTGAAGGAGGAGGTGAGGAGGGATAAAACATTGCTCCACAGTACATCGTGTTCACTGCAGACCTGTTTTTCACCGCGCGTTATCCTCCACGGAGCGTCCCGGAGGAAGCTGGTTACCCGGCAAAGTAAGAGCACCAATCCTCTGAGGGGGAAGTTTGTCAGAAAGCTGGAGGCGGTTGGCATGGAGACAGGTTCTGTGACAACCAGGGGCCTGTAAAGAAAAGGATTTACATCATGGGACAGAAAAAAAAAACATATCCTGAGAGAATCTGCATGATTAAAGGATGATGTGGACTGTGATGTGTGTTGGTGTTCATACGGTTTCTGTTGTTCAGGCACATGGCTCCAAAAGGAGGAACATGCTTCTTGCTGCTCGTCGTCGTCGTCTGTGCAGCTTTGGGTAAGCAGCACAAACATCACATGCATCCTTTTGCCCTCATCCTAACCGGGGGAGGCAGAGAGTCGACCTCCCTGAAAAGCAGCAGAATCTGCAGGAACTTTTCTTTTTTTTTTATAGGAGCTTCCAGATGGGAAAATCTTGAGATGGCACAGAAAAGGCAAAAGCTATGGAATAATAATGAATATTACAAATAATGAAAAGGCAAAAAAAAAAAAAGAGAGATCTAATTCTGACATGTTTGTTTCTTATTTTACTAAAAATCTGATGTGCAGGGACTAATACAGGTAGTTTTGATTATACAGTTCAAAATGAGAAGAGATGCTGCAGAGTATAAAGACGAAAAAAGTCGTTGTTTTTAAATTATTGTTTTCTAAAACACTGGAAAGTCTTTCCACGTTTGATGATAATTCATCCGACAGCCATTTACGGCACGATAAAATGTGTAATTAAGTGAATTGGATCCTGATCCATCCTGTCTCTGAGTCAGGATTAATGAAATAACTAAAGTTTCTGAGGTTGTTCTCTCTCTGTGGAGACACTCTTATGGATCCTGGTCCTGCAGGTATTTATTAAACTCAGAGGAAATTCTCCTAAACAGCCTGACCTCAGCTCCGCCTCATGTTTTCTCAAAACCTGGATTACATTCACTGTTATCAGATTGCTGAGGAGCAGAGTGAACAAACACACATGGAAGCTGTTTTGTGATTTAGAAAAACCCCGAATTTGCATCTATGTCAACTAAAAGGCACTTAAACTGTGTCTTTTGTGCTCTCTGTGATGTTTAAAGCAGATTTGCTGCCGTTGTAGAAACACTGTGAGGCCTTTAAGCTGCAAAAAATGTATTTGAGTTTCAATTTAACGTCATTTATCTTCTTGCTGTAATGAAGTCAGTTTCTATCAACTTGAAGTTACACTTTGTCCCTTTGATTTTTGACAAAAGTGTGAAAATTACAGTCACTGTTTGTGTTTTGGTGTCAGGACGTTTCTTCAGATTTTACTGCTGCAACACTGTGAGAAGGATTATAGAGTTTAAAAAAGAAAGAAAAGAAGTCTACTGACAAAATCAAGTAAATACTTAAAGTGGAAAATGTCCTTAAATTTAAGTTGCAGCAATGTAAACAGTTCATTTGATAGTAATCAAATGATTTAAGTACATCAAACCTAAACCGGACACATTAATATCAATTGTTCATTTAATCTGGATGAGCATGAATCAGTTGTGTGTCGTAGGAATTAATTCAAGTTGGTCCAATAAATCTCTTTTTGCTCCTGTTTGTGCCCAGCTAACCCGAGACCAGATGCAACGTCGGGAAATAAAGAACTTTTCAAAGTCGCTGCCAAAAGACTGGTAAGTGATCGCCTGAAGTTTCCCTCAGATCAACTTTTGTTCATTTCAACCTGTTTTCCACTGAGTAGAAACGACTTTGAACAGTTTATCCGGGTTGACTTCTGTCTTTCAATCACAACTTTTTGTCTTAATCACACTGAGATTGTACATTTTGTCCACGGCAGCAACTGAAATGGTTTGAATTTGTGATAACTGTGCTGCAAATAGCATCTGACCTGAAAGATCTGACCAGAAACATCGAGGAAGACAACGTGGCAGCGCTGATTGTTTGATTCTAAAGAACATTTGTTTGTCATTTCCTTAAATTTGAATGCAGTATCATTTTCAAACCACATGACATTGGTTTAGTATTTGTATAAAAGTCGTTAAAAGTCTCACAGGAACCTCAAGAAATGTGATCAAGCACCATATTCACACTTGAATTTTGCTTTTTTGTGAATTTTTGTGGGGGTTTTTGTGCTTTTTATGGTTAATGTGTAAATTAATGTCTTTTTTTCTGAATTTACCACTACTGTAAAACAAAAAAAAAAAGCTAAAACTGCAGATTTATTCATGTTTTTTACAGTAGCACATATTGACATGTCAGTTAAGTCGCAAATTATATTCATGCGCACGGCAAATATTGATTTATAGTGAATTTATAGTGAACAAATATGTTTCTTCTGGCTGGAAATGACAGAAAACATGACAAAATACACTATGACACTGTGTTGATAACTATTTTTAATTAATTTATATGTAATTTTGCTTTTTTTTTAATGATAAGAGTACAAATACTTTTGGATATGGCATTTTTTTTGCAAAAATGCAAACAAAACATTAAAATATTTATAATAAGCATCTGTAACACATCATCTTTTATCTCTTTTTTGTCATTTCTAGCAAGAAAAACAACCCTTTGGTCAAATTAAATCAACTTTAAACTGGTATGGGTATGAAAAGTGTGGAGCTTAGGTGCATCTTTATTGTTTAAAACCATTAAATTTAGGAGAACTGTGAGGTTTAAAGCCTTCATTTGCATTCAGTTGCACAGAACGAGACTGTTTTGAACTTCGGCCTTCCAGTTGCGTAACAGTCCTCCCTTTGTGTCGGGCATTTAATAATGTTTTAATAGACCTGCGTCATGTCACCAGCTGCTATTATATGTGCAACAAAAACAACATTTTAATGCCTCAAACATCTGATGCGTCTCTCTTTTTCTTTAGATGACGATGTGCTTTCGCAAAGGTAAGAGGTTCAAACATTCGACTCCTTTGTTGCCGCATTGGACAGAATTGATTTATTATGTCAACCCCGGCGTCGAGCGAGAGTCTGAGTGTGTAATACGAGGCAGAGCAAATACGTGTCTGTGTTGTGTTCTCATTGTGCGACATCTAAATGTGGAGGGTTGCTGTTACAGGAGTCGCTGCGCCTGACGCCAAGCTGCTGGCGGCCATCTTCAAAAACGGGTAATTTGCATCTGCTTTGTGTTTGGTTCAGTCGTTCAGAGCAGTGACATAAGACTGAGGACTGGGAATTGTCTGCATCTAGAACAAATGATTTATAATCATGCTGAGTTTTGATTTATTGTGAATTTTTATTTGTGCAGTAAAAAATTTGACAGTAAAACACAGTGTTAGAGGAACACAGTTTAACTACTAAAAGAAAAAGCCAATCAGAAACTAAACAGACTTCTTGGACCAACACTTGCTTTTCCTGAAGCCCCTTTGGATTGTTAGAGCTACAAAACAGTTTCCTGGACAGCATAAATCAACAAGCAAAGCATTGGGTATTTAAAACTTCCCACTCACCAGTTTAATTTCCACTGTGCTGTCTTTCCCAGTGGCGTGCCGATGGACGACATGAGCTCAGAGCAGTACGACAAGCTTCAGGCCATTTTCCTTCATGTCCTGGCTTCAGTAACTGGAGACAAAGACGCAAACAAGGAGCCACCTCGTCTACCGCCGATGGACGTTTCAGAGAAAATGGTGCGAATACACAGAAACACAGTCGTCCACACACGAGTGCAACACACACTTTAGAAAGAATGTATTGAAAATTCAGGCCCAAAAGGAGAAACTCAGAAATAAATCCACCTGTGATCATCTCATCTAAACTGAGTCCACCTGTGATTTCCAATCAGTCTGACTGCATGAACATGGTTATAAAACAAACTGTAAACAGCAGAACTTTGTCAGTTTTGGACCTATGAGCTGCATCTATGCAACTATGCAACAAAAAATCAGTGAAACACAGCTGCAGCAGTAATCGGGAGGTCTAGAAGGAGCCATAGTAGCACTGATCAGGGCTGCAGTGGTCGTCCTCCTACAATGACTCCACAGACAGTCAACTACTTTCACTATGGAGCTGTGAAAAACAGACAAAGGCAGCTGCTTCAGACTTGGTACAGGGGTTATCAATGGAGACCAGAGTTAGTGTGAAGCTCAGACAGTGTGAAGCTCAGACAGTGTGATAAACATGGCATAGAGTGAACCTGTATAGAAAAAAAAAAAAGTTTGCTTGTGCTTTGGTGCAAAACAGTCAGATTTTTGCTTAAGAACATTAAAAGACGCCTGGTGGATGCTGGAGAACATTCTCTGGTCAGATGAAGATAAATGTGTTGGGCTCAGATGGAGTCCAGATGTTTGGTGTGAACCTGACCAGGACCACCACAGTGGATGCATCATCCTGACACTGAAACACGGAGGTGGCAGCAACATGATATGGGGCTGCATGAGTGTAAAAGGTGATGGAGAGATGACATTTATAGATGCACCACGAAGAATAGCAGAAAATCTCCGCAGACATTTGCTGTCCTCCATGCTGAGGAAGCTTGAGTCTGCCATCAGAAATAAACATGAGCATATGAAGTAGTGAAAATATAACAAGTCTTCGTGTTGTTGCATTGAGTTTCTACTGTAGGACCGGTGTTTTAAAAATAGTAAATCTAAACAGCTTTTAATTTGACATAAGAGCAAAAACGTAATGTTCAACTTAATGCGATGACTGTGAGCTGATAGAATTCTGAATCATCTGACATGTGAGTGATGTTGCGTAGGGATGTACTCACTGCTGTATTTACTGCATCACGTCTTTTCTTTTCTGTCTCTTATTAGAAACACAGGATGTGGATCGTCAGAAACCTTCCAGCCGCGGCCAAGCGGATGAAAACCTCTTCTGTCAGTACAAAGACAAAAACAAAACAACTCAATCCATGGATGAAGGACTGCCGCTGACTCACTGGCAGTCTAACCATGCCTGTGTTTTCACTCCCCAGGAGCCGTCTATGTGCTACCTGAGAGCGTTCGTGGCCCCGGCGGCCTGGATGATTGTAACCGGTCAGGGTGAAAACAGCCTCGATGCAGACGACTACGATGCAGTGAAGTGGGCTGCTGAGCCCATCTTCCAGCTGAAAAAACTGGACCTTCCTTCCAAAGTGGACGGCAAAAACATGAAAGAGACGTGAGCATGCAGTTGTTTTAGCTTTAAAAAAATACTGTCAAATATTTTGCTGCTGGTTTGGAATGTAGCTGCTTTTACGTTAGTCTTTAAATGGTCTTTACTGTAGTTATTATCATTGAGTTTTTTGTCTCGTTGTTAGCTCCTGTACTTTTTAGTATCTTTCTTGTGTCTTTCTTGAATCTGTAAATCCTCTGTCGTTTCCAGGATGAGCTTATTACAGGACATGTACGGTAGCATGTCCGAGAACCAGAGGACTCAGGTGTCCAAGTGGGAGAAAGAGCAGATCGCTGAGGAGTACTCCAAGTGCACCATGAAGCCTCCATCCGAGTCCAAATCAAGTAAGAAACCGTCATGTCTGCATTATCATTACACGGACTTATATTCGTTTTCATGCTCCAACCAGAACATTTAACTATGTCTTCAAAGATTTTCTGATTTACATTAAGGAGACTTCTGTGCCCTCCATGTGAAAATGTGAAAATCTGTATTCAATTTAAACAGAAAAAGTAAAAAAAAAAATTTAAAAAAAGACAGAAAGATACACTAAAAAAATCTGTATAAATCCGGCAGCAAGGGTTACTATGATGTTCAAAAACTGTAAAAACAATGAAAATAACAGTAAATATCTGTAAAATAGTTATTTCTTTGCCGCAAAACATCTTAATTTTGAGCCCACAAATTGTAAATGAAGGTATTAGTATTTATAAAAACATATATTTTTGATGGGAACATTACAGACAATTTGGCCATTTTTACAGATATTACCTGTAACAACAACAAAACGGGAAGTTTTTGATTAAAAAGAAACAGATATTTACCATTCTTTAGTCCTAATACACAGATTTTTTTCTGTCAGTATACATAAAATATTTGTTTTAAACTGAAAAAAAAGTATATTTTACAGTCAAATATTATAAACAAGGATGAATTGTCATTTATAAAAAAAATGTAAAATCTAAATTTTCTCTTTATAATTTTAGCAGTTTTCTCGCAGTTAATATGCAATTTAATGTCTTTTTTTCAGATTTCACTGCTGTACTACTACTGTAAAATAAATAAATACCTAGCACTACACAGTATGTACAGATAAGCCCACATACACATGGCAAATTTTGATTTATCGTGAATTTTTGTTCATCAAATAGATTTTTTTCTAGCTGTAATTGATGTAAAAAGTGACAAAATACAGCAAGACATTGTGTTTGAGACATTTATGATCATTTTTAATTACATTTTTGTTATTTGACTTTTTTTTTTTAATCAAAAGAGAATGAATCATTTTGGACGGGGCGTTGTTATTAACAAGATAAAATAACTTGAAAATCTTTTAAAAAAATAAAATAAAATAAAAAAATCCCAAACATCTTTGACACAATGTTCTGCTGTCTTTTGTCACATGTTTTTGTCCTTTCCAGTCAGATGAAATGTCTTGGTTAAATAAAAATGTACTTTAAATCTGAATTTGGCATGTCTGTGACCACGCTAAGCACTACATAGTTCCAGTATGAAGCATGCTGGGACATCAGGATTTACTAAACCACAGCAAACACCAAGACACTTTACACTCAATACAAAGGGCTGCCTTGCTTCCTGCTTCATTTCTGTTGGTTTTTTTTACATGGATGTGCATCGTTTATTTCGCAGTGCCAATGGGTCGGTGCAAACCTTCAGAGCAGTGGTTGAGCTCAGAAGCGATGGACATGATGGGCTCTTACCTTTCCGCCGTACAACCAGCTGATCTTGACTCTTCGTCCAAGGAAACTGTGAGCGGGCATGAAAACGAGCATCAAGAGTTGATGAAACTAAAAATAGCAAACAATCAAATTAAAACTTTCCTTCACTTTCTCCTCCAGATGTGCCAGCTTTTCAGCTCAGGCCGCTTCCGCTCCAAAATGAAAAAAGCAAACATGAAGCCCAGCCTGAGAAAGAAGTTCCTTGGAAAATTTAAAGAATGCTCCAAGGGAAACAACGTCGCTGAGGACATGGAAAAGTGTGTATTCATGCATGAGCTGTGCATTAAAACGAAACAAATCAGGCCTATGATGGAAAAGGACATTAACTTATTTTCATGTAATTTCGTAACAAAACAGAAAAGGATGAGCATATTATTGTGTTTTGAGTGGTTTAAAATGTCAATCCTTGAGTTATTAAAAGAAAAACTTTGCTGTCCAGTATACAACAGACACACCGACACCGTATGACCTTACAATAATTGTAAAACCTCCAGTTTTGATATACTATATTAAAAATGCAGGCGTTGCAGTTGGAACTCAATGCAACAAAAGTCATTTTATTTTTTCAATACTCTATGTCCACCTTCATGTTGGATGACAGACTCAATCCTCCTCAGCATAAAAGATACCAAATTTCTGCAGAGATTTTTTTTTAATCAATTTTATACCAAACAGCAAGCAGGGCTTTTCCATTTTCTTCTTCTTCTTCTCCATAGAGGTTGAAGCGTCCTTCACACTGTCTGAGCTTCACAGTAACTCTGGTTTCCATTGATAAGCCCTGTACCAAGACTGAAGCAGCTGCCTTTGTTTTTAAAGTGAAAGCAGTTGACTGTCTGTGGAGTCATTGTAGGAGGACGACCACTGCAGCCCTGATCAGAGCTACTGTGGCTCCTTCTGGACCGCCCGAATCCTGCTCACACTGTGGTTCGCTGGTTTTTAGTTGCTCACTGGTCTTCTAGTATCCTTTTCCATCTTTTTGGAGCCTCACGATCAGATTTTTTTCTCCCATGTGACAATCGATTTCCATGTGGAGCCATGATGCAGACAGTCCATAGGTCCAAAACTGAAAACGTTCTGCTGCTCACAACTCATTTTACAACCATGTTAATACAGTTAGGCTGATTGAAGCTTTTTTTTAAACGTGTGTGTCAGTTGCGTTGAGTTTCTACTATAGGGCCTGTATATCCAATATAGTCTTTCTAAAGTATTTCTTTTTGATTGGTTATAAGAGGAAATACTTTACTGTTCAACTTAGAAATAATGCAGTTGCTGACTCTTGATACCACTTTGAATATTTTGACAGTTTGGTAATGTTATACAGGGGTTTTCTGTTGTATACAAATGTGTGTATGTGGTATCAAAGAAAGTCGAGAAAACTTCAAGGACTCACTAAATGGTTGCTGTTGACCGTCCACAGTCTCGGGCCGCTGGCTTGTTTTAATTACGATGTTCCAGACTTGACTCCTAACGACACGAAGAAAGCCCTCGCTCAGCTTGATAAATGTGACAACCGCTTAATCAAAAAGGTATCTGTCACTGGCTCATACTCACCCAAACACTCCTCCAGACAGGGAGGTCACATGTTTCACGAGTCTCTGTCGTTTCTCTTTATTCTCTTTGTGTTCTGTCCCAACTCAAGGTGAAGAAACGGCTTGTCAACAGTTTCATGTCAAATTCCCCCGCTGCTCAGTCTGTGCTTGACGTCCTGAACAAGAGCTTGAGCCTGCTGTCTCCCAAGCAATTGTCTGAAATCCCTACAGACAAACTTAGGGAATATATTAAGAAACTGGGACAAAGCGTAAAATGGACGAAGAAACAGCTACGCACTCTGGTCAAGAAACAGCTGGGCGGCAAGAAGGTGAGTCGACGACTTGACTCTGATCGCTTTCCCTTTGTTTGATGCTCATCTTACTCTGCTTTCCCTTAGTGTAAAGACGCATCGCCTGAGGACCTGGAAGCCCTTAAGCCGATAGCAGAAGGTTTGCCACGCTGTTTAATCAAGAAAATGAAAGCCAAGGACATCCTGAACAACACAGCGGGTCTGACCCGAAAAACGAAGAAGGGGAAACTGAAGGCCATGCTGGAGCAGGTAAGCAAGGATTGATTAAGACCAACGACAGATACCTACTGTCTCTTGGAGAAGGAGGCTGAAGAAATGCAAGACTGATCCGTAAATACAGACAGAACAACACACAGGTTTATCTCAAATGTAATTCATATAAACAATAATCATAATTTTAGAAGAATTCAATGGTTCCCTGTAGATGAAAAACATGAGCATCTCGGATCTGGTGGAGAAGTTGTCCGGCCCTTTCCTTCCCGTCCTGTCTCCTGAAAGGCTGAAAAAAGTAAACATCACCTCTCTGAGCAAAAGTGACAATGACGTCTGGACTCAGTCGCAGGTAACATCTCTAAAAACCTCCGTTATCTCAGAGCTGTTGTTTCATTTACGGTTCACATTACACATCGTTAGCATTTTTAATGATTTTACTCACAAAGTGGTGCCATGATTCCTTCTTTGCTGTCTTTCACATAGGCGGCAGTACTGGTGAAGAAGCTGCTTGTGCTAACGTTTCGGTGAGATGTACAGTTGGGGACAAAATCCCAAATTGTTTTAGTCAAATCAAGTCAAGTCGCTGTTATTTCTACATCACATTTAAAACAACAGCCATGGGGCTAAAGTTCTGACCAACAGAGAAACAAGATGAACGTTAGCAAGTGTAGTCATTAAGGTTAAGAGCATTATTACACTCAGTATTAAATATAATGTGAATTTACACGAGTAATTTAAATACCATGGTTAAAACTCTACAAAATTATCTATAATACGAATTATCCTGACTAACTTAAATGTTATGGTTAAGAACATACAGTGTTACCTTACAACAAAGCCATCTGTGGAAAACCCAACAAATCCAAAGATTGAGTCAGTACATTGGTGACAGTGTGAGTTTCAACATATCATATAAAACTTGGCATAAATCACCAGGACTAACATCTGAAATATTCTTTGCCGAGACAGGAAGCTGCATTCCCTCATTCAGGGAGTAACCTGTAAGATGATTGACGAAGTTGCTGACCGTGACGTACAGGACATGGCTCAGGGCATAGTAGAGAATGAAAAGTGGGTCTCCAAAATGCAGGTACTGACGCATGCAGCGCAGACACACTGTTATCTGTAAATACAACATGTACATTGAGTGTACATATGTATATATATAAAACGTACTGTGTGTTTTACAGGCCAAATGTGCTGCCCGAAAGATTTTTGCAAAGTTGGAGAAAGAGAGAAGCAACTATTTCAAAACCATCACCGAAGATGAGCTGGACAGGATCGACATATTCTTCCTTCTTCACCTGCCGTAAGCAAACAGTGTGTTAGCTATCTTACTTTATCATGTGTGGAAACAAACGCTGAAATCTGATTCATTTCATTTCTTCCAGACCTAAGAAGGTGAAGGATCTGCCAGACTCTGTTTGTCCAACCCTTCTGGACAAGCTGGAAATTGCCAACCTGAGCAAAGTGCCTTTTCGTTCCCCATGCCGTCCTGCACTCGCACAGAAAGCTCTGCGCTGCCTGACCCAAGTACACACAGAAATATACCATAGCTACAGCCGTGAACAAGAGTTTACATACACTTGTTAAGACCGTGTATACTATGGCAGTCTTGAGTTTCCAGTGATTCCTATAACTTTGAATTTTCTAGGACGGAATCACTGAAACAAATGCGCATTTGTCACAAAAACAATCATGCATTTTGGTTCTTTCATAGATTTATTGTAGGTCTTTTGGAAACATAATAAAATCTACTGGGTCAAAAATGTACACACAGCAGCCTTTGATGTTGTAGAAAGCTGTGCTCAATTCTCTTTGTCTCTTCTTGTAAATGATTGCAATTTACTACAGCGGCTGACTCCTCTGAGCCAATTTAAATAGGACCCATTTGATCCACTCATTAGACTCGGCCACAAATGCTAACTTCTTGTCAGCGTTTGTGGGATCTGTAGCTGCATTGAAACGGTTTCAAGTTAGTTCCTTGAACTGTTCGAGTCAGCAATGATCTAAAAAAAAAGAAAATCACTGACTTGCACATTTCAAGAAACTAACTTGAAACCGTTTCAGTGCAGCTACAGATCCCAAAATCATGTGTGGGAGCAACTTCTTTGTGAGTATAACTCGCATGGTACAGTTGTGTCGCTGCCACAATCAGGAAGAAAACACAGAAAACTATCGCCTGCTGCTGAGAGACGATTGGTCAGGATGGTCAAAAACAGGTCTGCAATGAATAAGAAGCTGTGTCCAGATCACAAATATACTAAGAGGAGATTAGGTGAGGCTTTTAACCCCAAGAGCACCAAACCTACCATCAAGCATGGAGGTGGCAGCATCATGCTCTGGAGCTGTTTTGCTGTCAGTGGAACTGGAGCTTTACAAGAAGTAAATGTAATAATGAAGGAGGAGGATTACCTCCACATTATTCAGGAAAACCTAAAATCGTCAGTCAGAAGGTTGGTATTGGAGGCAGTTGTTAGCTCGAACAAGGCAATCCCCACACATGAAAGTTGGAAAGAAATGGTTAGATCAAGCTAGGATTAAGGTTTTAGACTGGCTTTCCTAAAGTCCTGGCCTAAACCCCACCAAGAACCTGTGGACTGTGTCAGAAAGCCAATAAATTCAGTTTAAATACTAAATCTATCAAGAGGAGTGATCAAAGATAGAACCAGAAGCTTAGAACGGCTACCAAAAGTGCCTGGTTGAGATGAAAATGAGCAATGAACACTTAACCAAATATTAGCGTTGTTGTATGTTCATTTTGACCCAGCAGGTTTGTCATACTTTCAGTAGACCTATAACACATTTATGTAAGAACCAAAATGCATGATTGTTTGTTTTCTTTTGTGATAAAGACGCTTGTGTTTCAATGATTCCATCATAGGAAATTCAAAACTATAGAAGTCATTGAAAACTCAAGACTGCCATGATATACACGGTCTTTGAAGTGTATGTAAACTTTTGTTCACAGCTGTTACAGTCATATTCACGTCATACAGGTTGGTTTGTGCAGCAGCCTCAAATGTTTACTGTGTGCTTGCAGGAAAAAGATTTGTCTGAACTGACTTTTGAGAGTGTGTCCAAGCTCGGACAATTCCTATGCGAGTTACCACCCTCCAAACTAGCCAACATAGCTCCCGACGTCCTCAACTCCAGCCTCAAGGCCATGGCTTCCTGCCAGCACATTCCACAACGCTACAGAAAGGAGATAATGGCGCTGGTCACCAAGAATTTTGGGTAGGACACACTCGCAGTGGACGCTGGAGTTTTTACAAAAAGACATATAACCCAATGCTCATTTCTCAGTTTGTACATCCTTTCCTCACAATTTAGTCCCTTCCATTTAAGACTCGAGGTGAGAAGAGTGAAGGTAACAGGCGATAAACAAATTGAGGAAAAATTTTATATCTTGACATTTCATCCAAATCCGAATTATATCCTTAATTCTCCATGTCTTGTTCTAAAGTTTGGCAAAGATAAACTTTCTGCACTGAACAGGTTCTGTAAAAACACACACACACAAAAAAACCTTCTACACTCCTCAGTTCAACTGGGAAGCCAAGAGGAGACGAGAAGACGACCACAATGATTTAATTTATCAGAGACAGACTTTTAACTTCCCAGGGGTCCTTAAACTAACCCTGTATGACGCACTGTTAAACTCAAAATATGTACAAAATTTAAGCTTTAAACTGTGATATTTTATAAAAGTCACTTCTCCATGACACTAATGTGGGGGACATCACATACTGCACATCATCACAAACTCACCATCCCCACCGTGATGCATGGTGGTGGCAGCGTCATAACGTTAAGCATGGTGGTGGCAGCATCATGATGTGAAGCACGGTGGCGGCAGCATCATGATGCTTCTTAGCAGCAGGTACTAGAAGGCGTTGAAATGTAGAGGGTAAAATGAATGCAGCAAAGTATAAAGAAATCCTGAAGGACAAGCTAATGCAGTTTAATAAATTCTTGTCAAAAAAGCCAACATATATTAACCACGATTCAATGTTGAAAAGCAATAAAACAGGAAAACTTTTTATAGGCACAGTACGTACTGGATAACAACAGCTGTAGTACATACTGAAAGGAAAAAGACAAGGTAGAGGACAAAGAAGCTTCAAGCTAGAGAAATGAGATGAGCCTTAAGAGTCTGATGCATGTTTTAATTGTCTGCAGGAAACCAAGTGATTGGTCGGCTGAGACCGTGGAGTCACTGTGTCCTTTGCTGGATGATGACGGCATCGCTGCTCTGCCCAACACAGTTTGTGTCTCTCCTACATGAAGCTCATAATATCCTGCATCAATAAATCCATAATAACTTACACCTGAGAGGGAAATCCTGACTTCCCTGATTCATGCATGTGTTCTGGTTCAGTCTTTACAATATTTTTTCCTCTCTGTGTCTGTCAGACTGAAGTGAAGGACGTCATTGTTTACACGTTGTCACATTTGTTCGACCCTCCAAAAGCCCTGAGGAAGAAATTGTTTGATCTCTCTACCGCCGGCACGTCTAACGCAGTCCGTAGAAAGAGAGCAGGTGAGGAAAAGCCTTCTAGTGTGTAAATACAAAAGCCCATCAGAGACGATTCTATTGTGCATCTCAGTTTCTCACCTTCTCACTGTGCGTCCCAGCCGACAGCATCACTGAACCCACCCTGGCTGTGATTGAAGACCTGGAGAGGGACAACGTCTTCTGGTCACCAGAGCAGCTGGACAGGATGTCAAAGGACACTTTCCTGGCTGGTTTGGAAACACTTGAGGAGATTCCTGACTTCAGTGAAAAGCAGCTGTCTGTGCTCAGTAAAAAAGCAGTGGAGGTAAAGTGCAGAAACTGATCCTGGAGCTGTTCATTCAGGGAGAGAGTCAGTTTCTAGTAAATTTTACTTCCAATAGTTTTAGCTTATTGCGTGCTTTGTGAAAAACGAACTAACTTTATTTTCAATGGACTCAAAACAAACATTCCCTCCTAATATCTCAGTATTATACAATATTGTTGAAGCGATACTTGTTTTAATGTAAAAATTCATTAACAAATCTAAACAGTTTCCTATTTAACCGTCTGAACCTCAAGAAGTTTTCTGCTCCGGTCACATTTGTCCTCACTGAGGGCTCATTTTTCACCACAATATTAAGTCCTGCACCTCGATGGAAGCAGAACAACCATGACGAGAAGGAGAGAGAACAGTTTTAATCCCATTAAATATAATAACAGGAAAAACTAAATTTCTTTGATTACTTAACAAAAAAAAGGAATCAACACGTGCATCATTTTTCCAAGTGCCCACAGATGTTTTCAGATCAAAAGATGCTTCTCAATACTTTAAATGTTGTACAATTCACAATGATATGTGTTTCTGGCATTAATTTCTTTCAAAGAAGGCATGTGGAATAAAGTTATTTTTATGAAGGAGGGACTGTAATAAACACAAATCTGAGGTGTGACGCTTTTCCTAAAACATCACTTTTCACTAACAACCCTCCTCTTTTTTTACACCATTTATAAATTTACATACAGTCCAAATGTAAAACATGCAACATTTAGATTAATATCAGATGATGAATTTCAGCTACAAAACTAATCCAGAATGAAAATAATGAACTTTTTGAGCTCCTAATTGCATGTATTAGCTCCCACCGACAGCATCACTACATTTAGCTACTCACCTAGACAGTTTATGAAGTTGTATTTGGCATCACTGACCATCAGAACAGCTGAGCACACGTCACCTCTCCTCTGTTTGTGTGTTTCCTTGAGGAGATCTGATGCAGGATACATAATTCACCAACACATTTCATGTAATGAAAAAGTACACACATCACCTCGAATGTGGCACAAACCTTCTGGACTCACAGACGTTTCTGTTTGTGCAGGCGTTCGGCCCGGTGTCACAGATGACCGAGGATGACGTCCTGCAGCTGGGGTGTATCATTCAGGGTTTCTCCAACTCGGACCTGGAGCAGCTTCCTCTTTCTCTGGACGCTGTGGAGGAACTCGCCCTCTGTAACTGGACTGACTCACAGGTGAAGCATGAAACCAGCTGCGAGTGCTGCCGACTGTTAGACTGATCGAACTGACGACTCGACTCGTGTGTCCACAGATGGAGTCGGTGTGGAAGGCTGTCGCTAAACATGAGGACCTGAAACCTCAGCAGATGGGAGCCTCGCACATGGTCGCTCTGAACTGCTTCATCTGCGGCCTGAACTCCGACGAGATCAACCAGCTCAACGCGGCTGCCTTCAGGTCTGTGCGCCATAAACAACTTATCCCTCATTCTATTTATTGATCCTCAATTCCAGTCTCTTATACTCAGAGACTAATTCATGTTCAGTTAATCGTCTAAACCCCAGAAAACCTCCGGAGATATTTTTCAGCTGAACTGCAGGCAGTGTTTCCACAGGGCAGTGAGAAGATGGCAAGAGAGGCTTACTGGATTAATAAAATAAATGCAGCATAATTCAAAAACTGTAAACAGAGGAGCAGGTTGTTGGAAGATACACTCAGCATGGTGAAACATCTTTTTTGATCTGATGTGCAGAGTTGAGCGAAAAGGTCAGAGAGGTTGTAAAAATGTAAATAGTTAAATACCTGCAGTGTGTAGATCCTCAGTAGTGCTCCTTAATTAATGAGTGATTATCAAAATGTGTCTTTTTTATGATTTATGGCCTTATAACTGTTTCCTACAGCATATTTCTGAGTTCTCTCTCCTTCTTAATAGTTGTGCTATTTCCACAGAGGTGCAGGACTTTATATTAAAGTGAAAAATGAGCCCACAAGAGCAAATAAACATCCAGAGGTTGAAAGTGAAATTCTTTTTTTGTCTCATGTAGCTAAAAGTGCTCACCTACTTACCTCAAACAGTATTTTTAACCTCTGGTCTCTGTTATATCTATGCAGCAGTACTCAAAAACATTCCCGCACACAGCTTGCTTTTTCTGCAACTGCATGTTAGAAGCTGCAGAGTGAGCTGGTGTCCTTGCTACACAACGTCTTCATGTTGGTTTACAGGGACGCCGTGGGCTCAATGGAAAATGTCCGGTGCTCCTTTAAAGCTCTGGAGAAGGTTAAACCTCTTGTCCTGTCTGCGAGAGGAGATCCAAGCACCTGGGAAGAAGCGGAAGTATCCGAATTAGGCAACTTCCTGGGTAAGAGTTCCTCTGCTCACGAATTGAACAAAGCCCATAATCCTGAAAAAAGCCTGGAAACCACTGTCTGATGGAGAAGCTACGCTTCATTAATTAACTATGATCTGTTTGTGTCCCTCAGCTGGGTTGACTGGAAAAGAGTTGGCTTCTATGCCCCCCTCTGTCCTCCCGTTTCTCTCTAAGACTTGTATCCCGCTGATTCCACCAGAAAACATTGCTGTAAGTGATGAAAACAGCTTTTACTCAAGTGTCGTTAAGTTCTTAGATACTTAGACATGTTTTGTTTTTCTTAAATTGCTTTATAACATTCAACCATGGCCAATATATTTGGCTTATTTAACAAAAAAAGTATAAACAAACGAACAACAAACACTGCACATCATCACAAACGCACCATCTGCACCGTGAAGCACGGTGGAGGCAGCATCATGACGTGAAACACGGTGGTGGCAGCATCATGATGTGAAACACGGTGGTGGCAGCATCATGATGTGAAACATGGTGGTGGCAGCATCATGATGTGAAACATGGTGGTGGCAGCATCATGACGTGAAACATGGTGGTGGCAGCATCATGACGTGAAGCACGGTGGTGGCAACATCATGATGTGAAGTAGGGTGGTGGCAGCAAACATTTCCATAGCTTTTTGGGTTATTTTATTGACGCTCTTCCCTCAAACCAAGTCTTTATACACTATCGTTCTTAAAGATTTATCAACTTCAGCTTTCTAAGAGCAACTTTTTAAAAATAATTCAAGTCTTTTTTTTTGGTTCAAGGTTAATTTCTAGGTGTTTTTTAAAAACCAAGAGATGCAAAACTTAGAAATAATAATAGTATAATAAATATTCTTCCTGCATTTCCAGATATCATATTTGGGACTTTACTAAAAAATGGCAAAAGGTTTTTCTAAAATGCAGTTAAACAGTTTAAATCAGCTCCATCTCGACCTCATACAAATAAAATGTTGCCTGTGAACACTGCGTATGCAACATTACATGACAGCACCAACTACACATTTGCACGCAGGGCTGTAATGGACTATTTTTTGCATCTATTATCATCTTGACTTCAGTTAACGTAGACTTCCTCACTGTTTTCCCTCCAGGCCTTCTCTGCTGCTCAGCTGAGCAGTCTTGGGCCCGACAACGCGGCCATGTTGACCGTCCAACAGCGAGCTGCGCTAACAGACGAACAACGCAACGCCCTCGAACGGGCTGAAACCGGGTCTGATGACGGGTCTGATGACGGGTCTGGTGAGGAACCAAACAACACCACCATCATGGCAGGTAAGAAGACACACTAGTTCTGCTTATCAGATGGCAGTGATGCACTTACCTGGAGGATGTGCAGCTATCCTGGGTTTAAAGTGCAATAGTGAGTTTTTAGTTGTGCGTCCTTCATTTTACAGTTTTTTAATCTACTCTCAGTGCTCCTATTAAAGCATCTTTAGCCAAACACTCCCCCCTTCGACAGCACACTACTTCCTCCACACCAAACAGTGAATATCTGGTGAACACCGTGCAGCATTTGGTAGATAAAAGTCATTCGTTTACCTCCGGAGTTGTTGGTGGAGACCAAAAACAGAGCTACAAGACGGTGAAGGTTGAATTTCTGTTCTCTATATGTGAATATCTGGAATATCTGTACATTGGATTGATGACAAGTTCACATCAGTCTGTCTTGTTGGGTAATTTAAAGCTGGTTGAAGATGCAGCCAGCAGTCCAAATGAAAAACCGCTGATTTATTTATTTATTTATTTATTTTTGGTCACAAGACTATTGGTCACAGCGAAGTGAGGCGTGGCTGCACAGTTGCGGAATTTTGGTGCAAATGATTTATTTTAAATGAAAAATGAGGAATAAAGTGTTTTAATTTTAATGAAAATCTACAATTTTAAGCTTAGATTTGAATTTTCCTAATAGAATCGCACACGTGATGAGTTCAAGGACTGTCAGAGTCTAAAATATTACTTTTAACAGTTTCTGGCTCTGATTAATGGTGTAATTTGGGAGGCATTTAAAAAAGAAAACATGCCTTTCCAAACCTTTCGAGTTTAGAAGACTAAAAGGGGGTTCAGTATGGTAGCGTTGGGTTCACAAGGTGTTAAGTGGCCAAAAATCAGTGATTGCATAGTTTTAACTGGTAAAACTAACTTTCGTCGGGGCTGAATGGATATCGATGGTTGTGGGGAAAATACCTTCACACCTCGACAACACATTTTGAATACAATTTTGAGCCCTGATTGATGCGTCCCACCTCCGTTAGAAAAGCACGGATATGAACACAGTAACGTACCATTTAAAACAGCCAGCCTTCTAACTTTCTTTGTATTCTGTCGCGTCCAGGAGCTCCTTCGCTGAGCGTCGAGGGGGTCGCGGCCTTCGTGAAACCCGCTCTGGTTCTCCTCATGGGCTTCCTGCTGCTGTGAGAACAGAAGAGCATCACATCCAACAGCAAAACCTGCAGCGGCTTCAGCTAAACGCACACACGCAGCCTCGTTTTCGTCAAACGTACCCGTATAGAACACTTGTGACAGCATGCAATTATCCTATTTGTGGCGAGGACACGTTTTGTATAGATGCATTGTCTAAGATAATTACTGTGTGATTGTAGGCTACGGTGCACATCATAATCAATTAAGTACAGATTGTTTTCCTGCTCAGTTTTTATGCAATATTCTGCCTGTTATATATTTATAAGAAAGTATATTTTAATAGACTCAAGAGGAAGATTTAATATTTGACAATACTGCCCTCTGCATGGGTTTGATATTTGGATATTCAAGATGTGGTGGTGGAAGGTGACAAACTCAATAAAAATTATAAACAAACCTGCATACTTACTGTTCAAATGGTACATGGAGACAAAACAAGCAAGTGAAAGCCAGTGTCTTTATTAATATTTTTTTTTCATTATAAACATTTGGTTAGAAACAGTTTGTCAAAAGCAAAAACAGATAAATAGAAGCATGTTTGTGAAAGCACTAGATCATCTCCTGAGAAGGTACACACACACACACACACACACACACACACACACAGATCATCGCTCACTACAGCACACTAAAGTCATTTGAACTATACAATGCATAGATATTAACCCTGTCTACACACATTGTTGGTGTACAGCTACCAGAAACACAACAGGAGTGAGTGTGGCCCTGTGCAACATCACTTAAATGTCAACTTATTAAAAACTGTATCACCTGTTAACAGCTGCATTATTTCTAACAATTCACATTTACCAATAATGCAAACATAAGTTCGAGCTTTCTCTTTGAAATACCAGAAATGTGTTCAATCAGATTAAAGTCAAACATCTTAGTTTTCACCTTTTCTTTAGAAACTCTTGTGCGATTTTGTTCTCTGGATGGTTCTCCTGCTGGAATATTCCTCTTCTTCCATCTAGTCAGCCAGTATTCTGGTTTATCCTCAGACATTCATCTATAAACGTCATCAACACCTTCTGTCCTCATGCAGCCCCATATCATGATGCTCCCACCTCCGTGCTTCACTGTCAGGACGATGCATCCACTGTGGTGGTCCTGGTCAGGTTCACACCAAACATCTGGACTCCATCTGAGCCCAACACATTTATTTAGGTCTTATCTGACCAAAGAATGTTCTCCAACATTCACCAGGCTTCTGTTTAGTGCTGATGAGGAAGAAATGTTTTTTTTTGGCCTCCATTCACAGATGTTCTGAAGTGTTCTCTGAGAAACTCTGGTTTCCACTGATAACCCCTGTGCCAAGTCTCAAGCAGCTGCCTTTGTCTGTTTTTCACAGCTGGATTGTGAAAGTAGTTGACTGTCTGTGGAGTCATTGTAGGAGGACGACCACTGCAGCCCTGATCAGTGTTACTATGACTCCGCGACAGTGCTTCACTGATTTTCAGTTGATCTTCCTGCATCCTTTTCCGTCTTTGTTAAGTTTTGCAATCAGATTTTTCCGTTAGATTCTTTTCCACGTGGAGCCATGATGTAGACGTATAGATAGACCCAGTCCATCGGTCCAAAACTGAGGAAGTTCTGCTGTTCACAACTTCTTTTATAACCATGTTAGTGCAGTTAATTTTGAACATTGTCTGTCTAAAGTATTTGTTTTTGATTGTTTACATAAGGAAAAACTCTTCTGTTCAGTTTGCAGGTAATTGAGAAGTGACACAACTTAAAATCTTTCACATTTAAATGGCATTGCACAGGGATATAATAATAATAATAATAATAATAATAATAACAATATAACCTGATCCCTGTCCACATACGGAAACATGTGAACATATAACTGTACTCAGCTCTGTAGAACAATGGTTTTAAGTTTGTGGGCAGTGTCAAACGCCAAAGAAGCTCACTGTTTAGCAACTCTTGCGTTCTCAGGAAAACATAAGGAACAGACATAATAAATACACGCTGATCTTTTGTTTACAGTCATCTCCTAAAGCGAAACACAAAAAAAACAAAAAACAAAATTCATACTTTTTGTAAATCTCTTGCTCGCTGAGATGGAATAAATCTGTAAATACAGTACTTCATATTTAAAATTTCACTAATTTCTGAAAGTTTCACCCCATATAGAGTGTCTAAAACGTTACATTATTGCGCACCATTTTCCAAAGCAGTTTGTATGGAAGTGATTTCAGAGAGCCGCTGGTCCGCATTCATGTCAATTAAAAAAAATCAATCTGCAGATGCTTGAATATTCCTGAGACTGGTTATCAATGACAACAACATTTACAAGGATGGACAGACACACCACCATCAAACACCTGGCAGTGAAGACGCGTGACGTGATGGGATTTATGCAAAATTATATTTCTTAGTGGAGCAGACGTCCGAGTGAGGCAACTGAACAGGAATCTGACAAAAATATAGGAATTTAGGAACAAAACTGCCTCATTGTGTCCGTCTCCCAGTGGTGAATCAACGTCAGGGTGAACGTGACAAGAAATTTAACCCATCTTGGGCAAGTAGATTCATTTTCATGTACAGAAGCCAACTGCTGCGGTGTCAACCTTAAATACATATTACCCACTACGTAGTACGTCAGAAGGAGGCTTAGCATGTTTCAAAACAACGTCAAAGGCCAAAAATACCAGAATGTTCAACTACATCTGGTCTCATACCAAAATGACGTTTCCAGGTACCTTCGATTAAGTTTAAACGAGTCAGACTGACGTAGGGATATTAAACAGGAACCAGTCAGAACGGAATTCTAGATATCTTAATTAATGAAATTATATTCGCTCGAAGCTGCAGCAAGCAGGAGGCAGAGAAGGTTTGCTTTCCAGACGTGTTATTTTACTGGAACCAGATGGAAAACCATCTAGCTAAAGTTACCCCAAGATGGTGGTTGGTCCAGGGCCTGGTCACTTGCAGGAGTGCATTTTTACTATCTCATGCCGTTTCTTCTTCTAGGTCTCTACTACTGTAATAAACAATGGCAGACGACAAACTAGAGGCGGCAAAGGATGGCACAGCTGCAGGCAAAACACGGGGAATCTAATAGTCAGCAAGGAGAGGAGGCCAAACAAAGAGAGACAGAGATGAGGAACTCTATACTGACTCAAGTTCCAGAGCAGTCAGCCCGTGCCAGATTGGAGGTGAAGCCAGAGAAGGCAAATGCAGTTGAAAACTATTGCGTTCAAATGGCTCGTTTTGGTTTCAGAGTCGGGCCTGATCGAGATCCCAGAAAAAGTCTGGATCCAGACTTCATCACAGGTCCATCAGGGTGTCTAGACACACAAACAATCTGAAAAGTGGTGTGAATTTTGACCTTAAATGAAGCTCTGAGTTGTTGCTGATCCGACAGGAATCCTCGTGAGCGGCGCCAAACAGCCACAGAGCAACTAGAGTGGGTTGTCCTGTAATCACAAGGTTGCAGGTTCGATCCCTCCACAGTCGAAGGGCAAGACGCCAAACCTGAAGTTCCTCCCAATCTCAGGCAGGCACCTTGCATGGCTCTACAATGTGCATCTACTCTCAGGTGTAGGTTGCTTTAGATGAAAGTAAATGAACTTGTAGTCACATTGATATTAGTCATTTTAAACTCCAGACTTTTAAATGTGAAAACAGCTCATTTCACAAGGCAGACTGCAACGGATAAACAAGAACAAGAAGCTTAAGGTGCAAAGAAGTGGTAAGAGCAGCTGCTGAACTTACCCAACGGACAGTTGCGTCATTTGTTCTGCAGCCTGCTGAATGCTTTGGAAAATGGCAGGCAATAAGTTAAAACTTACTTAAAAGTACCCGAGTCAACATATAACCAGACAAAACTTGAAAAACAGGGACTTTTTCACTAAAACAACCAGATTACCGTTTGAGAATCTCCTCAGCAGAGTGAAAACATTGAAATCAAAACAGACACATTCCATAGCTGTTCATCAACATTCATCCAAACGGAAGTCTCGATCGCAGCAGGATTGGATTATTGCAACGTTTACGGTACTCTGCAGGCACGTGGAAGTCAAGGAAGTAGCTCCGATCTCATCGTTACTGAGCGCTAACGCAACTTTAGATCCTGAGTGTAAGAAGGTTAAGGCTCGTCCAAAACAGTGAGAAGCATCTTAGAATTTCAAGGATTAATCGATTAGTTTTTAAAAGAATAAAATGTCTAAATTCTCTGATTGCAGCTTCTTAAATGTGAATATTTCCTCGTTGCGTTCTTCCTCAATGAAAGGAAGCTGAACAAAGACATTTAAAAGATGTTATTTGACAAATGTTCTCACATTTTCAACAAGTAATTGAATAACCGAGAAAATAAACAACAGACGAATTGAAAATAACGGCTAGTTGCAGCCCTAAAATCACATTTGACTGTTTTACAGTGTATTCAAAAGACAAACTCTTTGGTTAAATCAGTGCAGAGGTGACAAACTCCCACGTTAGTGAGAGTTTAGTAATAAAAAGGCACTTTGATCACCTCCAGACACTGATTTTCCCTTTTTTTCGCCACCTTAGATAGTTTTTCCTGCGTTGCGTGCGTTGATAAAAGCCATCCCGTGAGTTCTGAAGTGTGTGTTCAGATCTGCGGCCTTTTCAAAGTGTTTACCACACACCTTACAGGCCAGCGCTCCCTCGTCTTCAGGCTGGCCGGAGGGCGACGCCGGTGCCGACCCGTTCAGGGAGCTCCTGTCCTCGTGGCTCCTGCTCTTGGCCGGGGAGGGCGCCGGGTGCAGGCCGGGGGCTTGCTGGCCGTCGGTGAAGGCATCTTTCACTTTGTGGGTGATGAAGCGATGGCGCGACAGGGAAGAGGTGGATGTGAAACAGGCGCCGCACTGCAGGCACTGCAGGCCGCCGCCCTCCGAGCCTGCTCGCCTGTGCTGGCTGATGTGCTCCAGGAACGTGGCCTGGTCCTCGGTGGTGAAGCCGCAGGGCGCACAGCGAAGCCCAGACTCAGGCGCGGTCTCGAGCCGCGGCTTCTTCACCGTACTCGTGCCGTCTGCGGACTCTTCGTCCAGCTCGGTTTTCACGGCTCCTCTCCGTCTCCGGCGAGCCACCGAACCGCCGTCTGGTTCCGATGAGCTGTCGGCCTCGTCTCCACCTTCCTGTGACCGTGACGACAGTGTTTCAAGACAACATGTCCTCCTGTTTGCTTAAGAGACAAAGAAGAAGTGGCTTACCATCGACGTGTCCGGGTTCATGATGTGCATCAGCAGGACGTGTCTTTCCAACATCACTCTGCTGCTGAAGGTTTTCTCCCCGTCAGTGCAAAACCTACAAAATACACAAATTTACTCTCCTCTAGTTTAGTTATTACCGGGACTTCAATCAATCAAACTTTATTTACAGAGCACTTTTCATACAAATTAAGTGCTTTACAGATAAAAGGAATAAAAATGCAATAAAACAACACAAACATCATGTCACAAATGAAGGAGTCAGGAAGCTCTATCCTAAATAACACATGCAGGCAGTGAGGAAACAGATAAAATGTAGCAAAATAAGATAAAATAAAAGCTTGATTATTAAAATATAGATGGATAGATAAATAGGTGAAGGGTAAAATGAAGCCCAAATTTCTATATATACAATAAACGAAACATTGAATAAACATAAAATACGTCAATAAGTGAACAGAGAAATCAATAAATGAAATTAGTTCTGATGGAGTGATGAATTAATAAAATCCTAAAAAAAACAAACACCCAAAAGCCTGACTAAAAAGGCAGCTTTAGTAAATTTAGTAAATCATATTTTGACAAATCAAATCTTAATTTCAATTTCTTCTGAATGAGACAAAAACTTTTAAAATGTTTTTGACTGATTTCTAAAATAAGACAAAAACACTAGTATGAAAGCTTTGTGTTCTGTGGCTCAAACGTTTTTTATCTCTGCAACAGACTTAATATAATCCAAAATGATCAGTTTTTGTTGTGCTGCAATCTGATCATTATTATTCTTTTTAAGTTTTGTGTAAGTATCACAAATACAATCCAAGCAGCGTCTGGACATTGCTTTGCTCCCGTTACATTTTCCCTCACTGTGGTCCCATTGTTCACTCCAACATAAAGTCCTGCACCTCTATGGAAACAGAACAACCATGACTACAAGTAGACAGAGGTCACAAATATGTTTTATGCACTAAGACTAAGTTATAACACCACAAATCACACACAAAAAGTATATCTCTGAGTTACATGTACAACATTTTCCCAAGTGCCTACAGTGTGTTACCAACACAGGAAAAAGGAATGGTCGCTCTACAGACTGTACATATTACTTTTACTACATTTCCACAGCCTCTACAAACTAGATTTTTTTTAACACTACTCTGCACATCAATTTCAGAAAGATATTTCACCATTTACTTATTTTTTTGATCAACTATGTTTAATTTGTGGAAACACTGCCTGCAGTTCAGCCGAAAAGCCCCCAAATATATCGTCACATGACTGTTGGTCTCAGCTGAGTCGGTTCTTCGGTGGGACTCGGTATACTAAACTAACACTAAATCTTGAACAAAAATTTTGAACGGGATCCCCTTTAAAGTAAAAAATGATGAGTTCAGGGACCATCGGAAAGTTGAAAATCCTGTTTTTACAGTTTCTCGCTCTGATAAATGGTGTTATTGTGGCGAATTTTTAAAAAAGAAAAATCATGCCTTTCTAATCTACTGACAAGTTTTGGGGTTCGGAGGGTGAATTACTTTTTTTTTTTTTTTTTTAATTAATTTGATAACATCTGGACAAACCAGGATCAAGTGTGGGAGATACTCACTGGCACTGGAGGCCTTGACTGGCGGCTTTGTGCTTATCTCTGATGTGACGTGTCAGGTTGGAGGGGGTGGTGAAGGAGTTCTCACATTTATTACAGGGAAACTTCTTCAGCTTCTGCAAAGACACACACACACACACGTATTTGCGGTTAAACTGCACATCTCAGACGGTAAAGCGACGGTGGCGTCCCGCACCTTGCCGTGCTGTTCCCTCATGTGAGCGATGTAGTCCTCCTGGTCCGTGTAACGCGTGTGGCACGACAGACAGTTCCACGACGACGGACGCTTTATCTTCTCCGTCTTCACTTTCTCATCTTCGTGCGTCAGTTCTTCTCCGTCCGAGCTCTCCGAAGGCCGCGAGCTGGAGGAGGCGGGCGGAGACGAAGGCGGCGGCTCTTTCACTGAGGAGGCCTTGTGGGTCTGGGAGAACATGGCAGGAAAAAAAATTTAAAATCAGGAGCTAACTGATGTACATTAAACAGCATATCAGCAAAGATGTACCTTGAAATGGTCCAGGAGGGAATTCCTCTGAGAAAACAGCTTTGTGCACTCCGGACATTTAAACACATGCACCTTCTGATTGGTCAAATGCGTGTCGAAGTGGGTGTGCAGCAGAGGCTTCTGCGTGAAAACGGTGTCGCACGTGACACATTTATAGATCAGCCTGTGAACAAAGAGAAACAGGGTCAGCTGATGGAAAGGAATCCAATACGCCCGGGTACGTACATGCACATATGCAACACATGTATGTACATTGGCTGTCCTTGAGCTAGCGTCGGGTGCTGGGCAGAGATGTGGCTCTGGATGCTGGGTGCAGATTTGAAGGCCATCGGACAGCTGGGGCACTTGTGGAACATGTCACAGTGAGCCTGCTGCATGTGAGACTTGACCGAGTTCAGGCCTCCAAACACCACCAGGCAGCTGGAACATCTGGAGACAGACAAATGGGAAAAGAAAAAGAGAGAGAAACCTGATTAGCATAACGGTACAGACTAATTAACCATCTGAGCTGCAAAATTACTCACTTATGAGACTGTAAAAATGGAAAATTTAGCAAATTTAAGCTTAAAATCGTTGTCAGAATCACTTTATTACACGTCTTATTTAAAATTCGCCACAAATAAGCCATCTGCGCTAACCAAATTCTGTAAAAACCAAAAAATTTCTGCGCTCCTCAGCACAACTGAGAAGCCATTCAGCTGTGACCAGAAGTCCGCAGAAAAAAATTCAGGATTTTACGGCTGAACTACATGCAGTGTTTAAACAGAGCAGAGAGACTGAGAAGACAAAAAAAAACCTACTGGATCAATAAAATAAATGTAGCATGGCTCAGAAACAGTGAGCAGACGAGCAAGTTGTTGGTGGATACATTCAGCATGGTGAAACATCCTCCTAGATGTTGATGTGGACAGTAGGTTGTAGAGGTTGTACTGCTAACACCAGGGGGCTCCTGGAAAAATTCTTAGAAATTAATTTATTTTTCTTCTACAGCACTGAAAACATGTCTGAGGTCTCTGTCTTGTAGCCATGCTGTTTTGTAGGAGGTGCAGGACAGCAGTTAAAAAAATGAGCCCATAGTGAGGAAAAAATGCTACAGGAGCAAATAAGCAGTAACTGCTCAGGGTTAAACAGTAGCCAACCTGTAACCAATGCGGCGGGAAAAGTGCAAGCAGGTCTCTTCCAGATGTGTTCGAAGCAGCGTCTGCTTGGCCGTCTCTCCGCATTCCGGGCAGACGTGCGGTGGGCTGCTCTGGTGGATTCGCCGGTGAGCCGCTGAACTGCAGCCGTTGGGCAGCAGCATGGGAGGAGAACAGTCCGTGCACGGCTGCAGGACACGAGGAGGAAACAGAGGATTTTAGTTGGAGCTCGTCACAAAGAAATAAAATTAGATTTCTTTTTTTTCCCCCCCTCACACACAGAAGACCTACAGTGCTGTGTGCCGGTTTGATTTCCTGGAAATGCTCGGCCACCTCTTCCTTGCTGCCGAACGGAGTCAGACACTCAGGACATTTATGACTCGCGCCGTGAGCTGCTTCTGCTTTCTTGTTTTGTAGTGTTGGCTTTGGCGTGGCCTTACCTAAAAAGGACAAGAGATGGAGGAATCAAAGAGGAATCACAACAACAACAACAACAACAACAACAAAAAAACACTTGTGCAGAAACAGAAAAGAAACGCTCTCTAACCGGATGCCACATGCTCCTGCTGGCCCACCATCTGCTCCACAGGTACCGGTTTCATGACCAGGTGTGAACACTGCATGATCAGGCCTTTCTCCTTGTGCTCTCTGGCGTGCAACAGCAGGCTGCACTTGTTGAAGAAGGCCAGACGTTTGGCGCAGTGGTTGCAGGTCACCTCGATCCTCAGCGAGCGCCGGTCGTAGTGCTGCGCCAGACTCTGCTCCAGGGCGAAGGCATCGCCACACTCCAGACAGCGGAAACCCTGCGGATGTGGAGATGAGAATTACAGCTGATTAACTGTCGTACAAGCGTCAAATGTGGCGTGAGTGTTACTTATAGGCCATACACTTTTTAGAAAAAAAACACTTTAAAATGGCGGCCATTTATTAAGAAGCTGTCAGAATTTTAAAGATTTTTTTAAAAGTAGTTGTCCATTTTTTTTATGACATTAACATTGTTTTATACATTTTTGACACTTCAGAATTCAGTTCTTGCAACAGATAGCATCTATGAACCTTCTACATACTGTAAAACCTCAATGTTTCATAGTCGTAAACGTTTTTGAATTAACAAGCGTTATTTGAAGCTTTTTGATACTGTTCGTGCTGTAAAAAAAAAAAGGAGGTTCTTTGTCTTGTCAAAGTTTAAACTAACAAGATTTCACTGTCATTGTAAAAGTATATATTAACACTAACACATGCTGGCTGAAGAGTTGACGATAAATGGCAAATATCTTGTCAAAGGAGGAAAGAAACCAGAAAATATTTACATTTAAGAATCTGCAATCACAGAATTTAGACTTTTTTGTCCCCCTTAAAAAAATTACTCCAACTGGGGAAATGATAATCAAAACAACTGGTGATGACTTAATTTAATGGTGACTAACTGTTGCAGCTCCATCGCAATCGCTGTGTTGTGTAAAATCTAACATATTGAGATAAATATTGAAAAGCAGCAGGTTTCAGCAGCTGGAATCAGGGACTCTTGGACGTTTTTGCTTAAAAAAAATGCTGCACATCTCACCTGTACAGGAAGCGAGAGGCCCCACTCCGCTGGCAGAGGAGCACTCAGATCTGGTTTGTAGCAGGGCAGCAGGTTCTTGTTGTTGAGGATCTTGTTGAAGGCTTCTACCAGGTTGGTCTGGCTCTTGGATATGATCGCCCCGGTGCTGTTCACTATGGAGGCCGGCCGGCTGCTGGCCTGAGGAGGCAGCAGAGGCAAAGGTGTCGGCAGCGCCATCCCGCCGTGGATGGTTTTCTGGCCGAGGCTGCGGAGGTTGATCGCGCCCGGAGTCAACCTGGAAGACGAGACGGAGGGCAGCGCTGCGGTTTTCGTGATGCTCACTGCGGTGGCGGAAACTTTTGGTTTGTTGGTTTTCGACGCAGCATCCTGGAGCATCTTCGCTGCAGACGACTGTACCAGTTTGGATCTGGTGTTGTGACGTTCTGATGCAGGTTTTGAACTTAACGCGCTCTTTCTAGCAGCTCTTCTGGTTCTTTTAGGCGCTGCGCCGGTCACAGTCTTCGCCATGCTGCCTGTAGGCATTTTGATTTTGACTTTGAGGGGTCGCAGTGGAGGTGAAACTGATTCTGAAACACTAGCAGATGCAGCATCCTTGCTTAACTTCTCCCCATCTGCCGCCACCTTTTCCTTCAGCTCCTCTGTGTCTGCTGGCTCCTCCTGGTTATGGAGATCATTGTGGTTCACATCCGGAGCTGGGCTGCTGCTTCTGTTGGGGATGACCAGGCCCGTCTCGCTGGGCGGCGGGCTCTCGGGCGAGTCTCTTTCATCGATCACATGCTCGGGATATTTCTCCTCGTGGATCGATGTGGAGCTCAGGGTGGGGAGGCTGTCCTGGATGCTCTGAAGCTGAGGAGGAGAAGGAGGAGAGCCAGGCTTGATCCCGTCCTCCTCGTGTTGGGGTTTAGTGGGTGTCTGAGCAGGACTAGTTTCAGGAGACCCAAGAAGATCCGGAGGTAATTTAGCTCTGCGTTTAAACTTAGGCGGAGAGGACCTTGCAGGCTCTGGACTCTCCTGGATGACTAGCGGACTTCCCAAGTCGGGTTCAGAGTCGTCATCATCCGTCTGCATTATGTGCTTGATTCCAGGTTTCGTGCTGCCATTTTGTGGTAAAAGGGGGGGTAGTGAGTTGGAAGGAGGGGACAGGTGAGGGCTGAGCAAGGGAGGAGGCGAGGAGGTGGGGGGAGCAGTGATGGAAGGCTGGGGGTAAAGGAGGGGCTTTAAGCTGTTTATCACATCTGCTGTGTGCTGAACTGATCCAGGTTCGGCTCCTTTATCGCCCTCGGTCTCACTCAGTGAGGACTTCAGAGATGAAGACTGGGACCAGGGCTTGATGTTGGATTTTGACTCCTCAAAACCGTTTGAAATCTGAGGCTCTGCGGAAGCTTCAGTGGACAGTTTGGGACTCAGCTGTGAGCTGAAGTCGTGAGAGGCTGAGTCGCTTCTAGAAGAATTGTCCGTTTTACCCCTGACAGACTTGTCTTCCTCTTCAAAAGACTCTGAACGCACCGTGTTCTTCACAATAACGCTGACAGCAGGAGGGTCGCTCTGAGAAGCAGGGGGTCCAGAGAAGCACGAAGGAGATCCACTTCGTCCCTCGCCTGCATTCGTCCTCACCTCGTCCCGGCTCTCCTCATCCGGGCTGGACTGAATCGCCTCTTTGGCATCGATGTCGGGAATGTCAAAAGCTGCCAGCAAGTCGTCAAAGTCTGGGGTCTTCATGTCCCCCATTGCCAGCGCAAGGCTCAAAACCTGGAGAGGCAACAAAGGAATCAGAATAACGGATACAAGATTAATTAAGCTACGTTGAGGTTAAAGTAAAAATACTCATTCCAAATTTTGATTTAAGATGAATTTTTGTTTGACCAATTGGTCACTTCTTGCTAGAAATGACATAAACAAGTGACAAATGACAGGAAGATGTTTTGTTGCAGTTGCTAATTTTTTGTAGTTTTTTTTAGCATTTTTACTAAAAATGCCATGTTCATAATTATTCATACTCCTGAAAGTGTTGCAAATTGTTGAGAAAATGCAGCTCCAAGTGGTTTTACAGTGTACTAATACACTATAAACTGACACCAGATGATGCAGTAGCTCTGTAGTCAGTTTATTAAGGACCTCCAGCTGCACAATGCTGCTGCTCACAAGACGTTGAAAGGCTATCAAGTCATATCAAGTGTTTTCAAGCTCTAGTGTTCACAGTTTGAAGCTTAATGAAGAAGTCCAAGGAGTTCCTCACTGTGGAACATGTCAAAGGGCTGCAGGAGGACAGACGTCAGCCCTGCACTGGAAGAATGGTGGAGGCCAAGAAGAACCCAAAGACCAGCACCAAGAGCATCCTGATGAATGTGAGCAGTTCTGGTAGCAACATGTCAATCAGACACTCCAGTAGACCAACAACAAGGCTGGTCTCCATGGAGACAAGGAGGATCCACTTCTCCAAGACAGACTCACTAAAGCTCAGCTGGACCTGCAGCAGTTCTCTATTCAGTTACAAGTTGTGTCTATAGGAAAAGGCTTCATGAGAACAGAGGAGAACATCAGGAGGTCTGCAGAAACACTGCTCCTTGGGCAGCATTGGAGCTTCAACAAGACAATGATGTGAAACATGCAGCCAAAGCGGTGAAGAAATGGTGAAGAGGAAACAATGAGGAGATGTTGGAGCGGCCCAGACAGAATCCAGAACCTGTGGAAGATCTAAAGAACAGAGTGATGGAGAGGAAGCCTTCAAGCTCCAAGAGCTGCAGATGGACACTTGGAGGAACCAAATCCCAGAAACACTGTTAGACACCAGAATAGAATAGAATAGAATAGAATAGAATAGAATAGAACTTTATTGATCCCTTTGGTGGAAACCTCAGGGAAATTGTTGAAGACGAGAACACCTGTTGGACGGATGTGGAGGAAAACAAAGACTTTGATACTAATTACTGAGAAGAAAATAAACATCATTAACACCTCTAACACAATGTCTTACTGTCTTTTGTCTCTTGTTAATGTCATTTTCAGCCAGAAGAAACCTGTTTGTCAACTATAAATTCACTATCAATCCACATTTATCTCACTTTGGTTTGAAGGGGCAGACAGTTGGTATCTTAAGAGGCTCAGGTGTGTATGCAGGGACTACTTTACTTACTAAGCCTACATTGATTAACAGCAAACGTGTTCAAAAGTCAGACAAAGTTGCTGCAACATGTCAAACTTTCTTGTCATGTTGCTGCTGCTAGCTGCTAGCTGGCCTCGCAAACGGCCGACTTTTCTCAACTGGTTCAAACCTGCAACTGAAACAATGCAACACTTGCTTAACGAAGCTCCAATACATCGTGTTCAATGCAGGTTAAGTTGGCTTGAACTGAAACTAACACTACCTCGCGTTTATAGGTAAGAACGTTTGTTACCTGCCAGTTAGCGAAGTTGGTTCCTGACTTCCAGTCGGTCGCAGAAGTTTGACGTCATCAAATCCTGCGACATAAATAATCTCCCACATGTTTACACTCACCTGCCTCTCAGATGTCCCAAACATTACTTATATGTGCACGTTTTATATTTCGAACTTGTGCAATCGCCCCCTAATAAAAACAAGGGGGGAAAAAATAATAAAATAAAAATAACAATTTCTTCAACAAATTAAGCAGTGACTTGTGTGATATGTTCTATGCAGGAAGCTTCAAAAACGAGCTACCAGAAGTCAAGAGATTTAAAAATGAACCAAAATAATTAAGATAAATGACAGAAGGCAGGACAAAAGAGGAAATCATGCCTGTATGGCCACTGGATCAACAGGGACAATATTAAACAAGGAAAGTTGAGCTACAGGAGAAAAAAAAGAAATATAGAAACCCTGATTTATATTACCTTATATTTTAAAATTGTCATCTAGTGTTCTCTCTTTACACTCACTGCAAAAAAAAAAAAAAAAAAAATCCTGCAAATATGGCAACAGTGCCAGAAAAAAACAAACATTCCACATTCATACTCTTGACACTTAAAAATGGCACCAAAAGAAAAAGTGAAATCAATGGCAAACTTTTTTTTTTTTCTTTTTAAATAAGATTTAAAGACAGTAAAACAGTTTTTGTTGATTGGTGATGCCGTGATACTGAGGAACAAAGACTGAGCTCCAGCAATTTGGATTGTCAGTTCAAATTTAACCCTGCTGCTAAATATTCTGTAAGAAAACCTACTTATAATTGTTTTAACACTAAATCATGTTCATCTGGTCTAAGTTGCCAATCGCATACACTGATTTGATTCCACTTTCATGTTAGATTTAAAACAGGAAAACTTCTTATGGAAGATTTTGTCGATCTTTTTTTTCTCAAATGACATTTTAAAATGCAAGTAACTGAGAATCAAATGTGGTATTTTCTGCATAATTTCAATACAACATTCACTGAAGCTTTAGAAAAGAAAAACATTAAACTGTATTCAAGCATCCAATAAAGAACCACCCTGTATTCTTGTAAATTTATTGAGGTAATCTGCCTACGTTACTGAGTATTTATATTACAAAAGATTCAAAATTAAGCACATGTGCTCGACACACACACGAAAAAAAGGAGGATCAGAACAGGCCCAAAAAACCCCAGAAAAGGCAAAAGGTTGTTTACAGTTTACACATGAACAAAAGAAGAACCAAACATTTTCTGTACTGAGGAGAGTAATACTGTAACTGTGAATGACACATGCAGTGTAATCCTCAGCTCTTCTTTATTTAGCATTTTTTGTACGTTAAGATGTTCACTTCTTCTTCTCCTCATCCTTCTTGGGGTCGGGTTTGGAGCCCGCCTGAGAAGCCAGAGAGCCCATGGCGGTGCGAATGGCCTCGTTGTTCGGGTCGACTCCGGGAAGGTTTTCTAAAACACTCTGGAGGAACTCTGGATCCTGCATCACGTCGTAGTCCTCTTCGTCCTGCAAGCAGGCAGTAAGAATGTCATCAAAACATGATATTTTTTAATCTAATGTCAAATTAGATGTGTAACGATAAAAGGCTGTGTTTACCTTCGCCTCACTAGAGTCCATGTCAGCACCTGTGTCCATGTCCTCGGCACCAAACTCTACAAGAAAAATCAAAGAGAAACATTCAAATCAACAAAAATAGGTAGATCTAAATCACATATAACGTTTACAGAATAATCTGCAGGAAAACTGTAGAAGCTAATAAAAGTGGGAAATGCAAAAAATGTTTTTCAGACTCCAAACTCTCCACATGGATCAATAAATTATATGACATAAAAACCAATCAGACTAATACCAGCATCGTCAAGTTATCATTTTCCAAATATCGACTCACACTTATACAAATTAATACAAATACCACAAGTAAAACTTAGACAGAGCGCTTCTAATCTTAGGCTTCTTCTAATGATTTGCTGATAACGGCCCTACAGGAAAGTAAATGAGAAACAATGATGAGGAATAGTAATCAAGTGTAAAATGTGCAGCTGTGAGTTGTTGTTTGTATTTGTGCCACATTAAAAAAAAGAAAAAAAAAAAAGAAGAAAAAAAACCATGGTGTTCGTATTTAATTTATATTTTTTCCAGGTTCTATTTAGTAAAAACAGCTAATTTCCTGTGAATTTTTAAAATAAGACAAAAAGAATACAGTGCTTTTGATGTAATAGCAGGATATAAAGCTTGGATTTGGTTATTTTAACTGACAGAAACACATGAAAATCCAACTATTTCTTCTGTTTTAACCTCTTATATATGATGTGCTCTTGGTGACTTTTTAAAGATAGGATGCACTTCGAACCCCCTGAAGGGTTAAAGCTTCTCTTCAGTTGATGATTTCCGCCCTATAAACTCTCCCTACACGTATCAAACCTACATATTTAATAGTTGTTCCCGTTAAAAGAATCCCCACACTCAGTGAACCGGTTGTGATTAAAGCAGACTACAAATGAGTGCAGGTTACAAAATCAAGAATCCATGTTTCAACCTGCTCCAGCTCCCTGCATGGACATCTGCAGAGCATAGGCGATCTGTTCGTCCTCTGTCATGCGGCTGAAGTCTGGCAGAGCAGGTGCAGCTGAGTCTGTGTGTGGAACAGACATCTTCAACAGGGCGTCCTCGGACTCTGCAAGCGGGGAGGAAAAATATGCAGTGTGAACACACTCGCGTCCGTCCATCACACCGAAGGGAAAACGGGCAGAAGCTGGCATCTGTGACAGCAGCTCAAGTTGATGGACACTTTCTCACCATCTGCAGCAGGGGAGGAAATGCCAGCTTCAGCAGCTGATGCAACAGCAGCTCTGCGGGCTTCATCCTCCTGTCGCTGCCGCTGTTCCTCCATCGACACACGCAGGGCCTAGAACGAAGAGAGCGATCAAAAACTACTTGATCTTATGTTGAAATGAGGGATTGACCAATATAGAGTTCTTTAGAGCAGATACAGATACCAATTATTGGCAATCAAGAAAGGCCTTTAGCCAATATTGGGAGCCAATATACATTAAATGTAATGTTTTAACAGGATGTGAGAGCAGAGAACCTGTCATTCATAACTAGACTTCTCCATTAACAAGGGTGATTATACATAAAATAGTAAGAAAGATCAAACTGGGATGCTCTCCTCTGTTTATGTGACTGAGATAGATCAAGTTGTCGCCTGCAGTTCTTCTCTATTTTCTTAACCTTTCACTGTTCTGTCACTTGTATCTCCCACTAAGGTTCCTATCTTAAAGCATTATTATTTATTGTTTTCCAGACTCTGTTTCAGGGTAATCTGTGGCTGCCTTCTAACTTAGCCGCTAGCCATTAGCCACCGTCAGAGAAGCTAATTTCCTGGTTTGTGCTTGTGTTTCTTGTTCACTTTTTGCACACCTCAGAGTGACGACAGACAGAGAGAGGAGGAGGCGGCTTCACACCTGAAGTAGTGAATTCAATTTATCAATAATCGGCCAATAAAAAATACCGATAATCAAAAAAGTGTCAAATATCGGCCATGATAATCCGGTCTATCCCTGATCAAAATGGGAAAAAAATACCAGCATTACTCTCAGTACTGCAGTTTAGTAAAACGATGCCGCAGAAACAATAAAACAGATCAAATGAGAAACGTCACATAGTCACATATGTGCGAGTGTATAACGATCATCAGGCTTAACTTGGAGAACCTCCAGCCGTCGCCGGCAGCTACTGTGTCTGATATTGTGGTTGAAGGCAGTATTTTTACTTCCTCATGGGCTCCATCGGTCTCTCCCTGCTTACGTGTGAAACTAAACATTTTGTTGTTACTGTGTCCCAAAGATAAATCCATCTACAGTGGACTATTTTAAAAACCTAAATGTGAAGTGAGAGAGGTCCGATCCAGACGCATGTGACGTAACTGATATAACTATGATCAACTACTACGATCATAATTTCAGCTTTGATTATGTGAACATGTTCAACTGACGTCTAAAATGCAGTCTGCTAGTAGAAAGCAGCACATGCAGATAAAATCACCTTAAATCTGCCAAATTAGACAGTAAAATGGGTTATTTTATTATTTTCCGACTATGTTTTGGTCTCACACCTGTGTGAGTTAACTGCAGGCGCTGGGCCAACATGTGAGGCGTTTAGGGAACATCTGTAAATTGTCGTGTCTATCAAAAAGTACACAAGTGAGGTGTTTAGTCGGATCAGATCATAGGACTGATATCAGAAAATGAAAAACTGAAGAAATTTGATCACACCAGTGCCACTAGCGAACAAGTTAGTGTGGAGCCCTGCAGCAGTGAAAAAAAACAACATGGATGAACGGTTCAGAGAATTTTAGCGGAAAAGAAAAAAAAAAAGAAAAATATTGTGACGACAATAAACTGCATAAACGACACATAATAAAATGCACTGCAGCGCCTTTCTCCTGTTATCTCTCACCAAGGCCAGCTCTGGGTCTGCACTGGGATCCACTCCGAACTCAAAGTCGCTGGCGCCCAGGCCCAGCACTGCACCTCCTTCCCCAGCCAGGATGGGCGAGGACAGCAGGGCGTCGGCCAGACTGGGACCTGGAGGGACGGTGACCAGGTGGGATCCGGCTCCCTCTTTGCCGTTTAGAGTGTTGATGAAGGCCGTCAGTTTCTCTGTGTTCATCTCCTGCGCGAGGCGGATACAATCAGGGTGAGCTTGTGGTCCAGAAAGATGAAAATATGAACAACAACAAAAATAATCAAGAGGTGGAGTGTGTGTGTGAGTGTGTGTGTGTGTGTGTGTGTGTGTAGCTTTGATGAAAAAATACCTCCTCTCCAAAGTTAATGACGTCCACGTTGACCTTTTCTTTCTTCAGGCGCTTTGCCATTTTGACGAGCTACAGGAAGAGACAAACACAGACAGATTCACATCAACGCTATCGGTTCATATTCTCCATAAACAGGTGCCTGTTAAGTGAAGAGGCCTCACTAAGAATGCTGCTCCAGTTCTAATTTTCTGACTTCGACAGGATATCTGAATAAAAAGATACCACATCAGAAAAAGCTGCTCGGAAAAGGATGTTTGCGGTTTGTTTTTTCAATTCTTTGCACAAGCAGAGGAGCTGGTGCCTGGCAGCTGCCTTTAAACTCAGTTAACTATCTGTCGTATTTACAGGAGTTCACATGTCGTCATCCAAAGTTTTTTTCTGATTTTCTATTTTTTATTATTTAACTTTTTTTATTGATTTTTCATCACAAATGTAAATGCACAACCAGTGTGTAAATATACACATTGCAAACAAGATTAAGTCAACATTTAAAAGAAAAAAAAAAAAACTCACAGTAACAAGCAAAGGAAGAAGTAAAAGCAACTTAAAAGAAACTTAAATAATAATAATAATAATAATAATAATAATAATAGTGATAGATAATAAGGTGCACATCCTTGGCAATTACATTCACCACAAAACAATGTCACATGACATGTCTATGTTCATCCAAAGTCAATGTTTTAATCTCCTTCTCGGTTATCACTATCAAAGTGACAAATATAGAAATATGAAAGAAAAAACATTGAAAACAAATGAACTTTTGTCAGAACTCAGCTCACCTCTTTTTCATTGTCCTCCACTGGGCTGCCGACAAAAGCGATGATGCGCATCTTGTGGTTTTTGCCCTGTCTGTGTTTCAGCGCCAACTGCAGAGAGACACAGAAATTTAAAAAACAAAAAAACAAATGCACTGACGAAATGCATTAATGTGCTTTTTTTCGGTGTGTCATAAGTAACAGGACATTTTGACATGTGGCTGCAGGAAAAGTACAAATGTAATCAAAGGCATGACTTCATTACATTTCGAGCCGTGTATGTTGACTGAACTGAGGCATCATTTATTCTTTCTCAGCATTTATTCTCTCACTTAAAACTATAACTAATCGGACAGAAAATAGTATTTTTGGTGGAATGAACCTTAAACACGATAACTAGAAAGTATGATGTGGGTGAAAAAACCTTTAAAGCTCTAAGTACTTGGACAGGAAGTAGTTTTTTGTACGGAATAAACTTGTAAAACTATAAGTTGCATGCTTTAGTGATCCTCCAATTCAATAGGTGGCTCCATCGTGAAAAACAAGGGTCCTTGAAGTGCAGGCTCCTCTGCTGCAGACACTAAATATGAACATCTAAACATCTATTGGTCCTGCAGGCAGAGCAGAAGAACTCTTATGAAAAACTCACATGTGCCACCCTGATGCCGGTGCAGAAGCTGATGTTTCCTCGAGGCTGCACAGCATGCAGCTTGGACAGTATCCTCCCTGTGTCTGGAGTCAGTGTGGTCAGTACCTCGCAGTTGCTGCACAGAAGACACAACATTTTTGTGTGATTATACGCTCATGTTTTAAATGTCAGGCCACTAATTGAAGCACAGAGCCTCTTACTTTGCCATGGTGATGAGGCCCACGTTGTTTTCAGGGTTGCTGCGGGTCTTGGAGTGACAAACAATGTTAACTGCATCCTGCTGAGCCTGCAGCCTGGTCGGCAGGAAGTCTCCATTCCGCATGTACTCACTGTTGTCCACACTGAGAACAACAAACAGCAGAATAAACAACCACGAGTCGTACAGAAAGCTGCACAGATTGGACAAACATCGATTGCTGCTTTAGGCCAGTTCAACAATAGAGAAGTGCATCTACTAGTTCAAAAATCTGTTCGCTGATCCGACAATTACTCGCCGATTATTTTATCAAGCAGAAAAAATGTCAGAGTCTCCACATCAATATAAACATATGAGTTTCAGAACTGTTTTCTTTTTTTTTTAAATTGACAGAATGGATATGTACGGTTAAGCCCAAAACTATTTATTTGCACACCACATTTAGATTCATAGTGAACTTCCAGTTGATCAATAGCTTTCTTCTGACTGGAAATGACATTAACAATAGAAAAAGACAGTGAAACGTTGTGTTCGAGAAGTTAATGACAAAGTCTAACAGTGGTTCTAGTGTCTAACAGTGTTTCTGGGATTTGGTTCCTCCAAGTGTCCATCTGCAGCTCTTGGAGCTTGAAGGCTTCCTCTCCATCACTCTGCTCTTCAGCTCCTCCACAGGTTCTGGATGGATTCAGGTCTGGACTCTGGCTGGGCCGCTCCAACATCTCCTCATTGTTTCCTCTTCAGGGTTTCTTCACCACTTTGGCTGCATGTTTCACATCATTGTCTTGTTGAAGCTCCAATGCTGCCCAAGGAGCAGTGTTCCTGCAGACCTCCTGATGTTCTCCTCTGTTCTCATGAAGCCGTTTCCTCTGACCAGGCTGTCCGGTCTGTCGGCTCAACAACAGCCCCAAAGCATCACGCTCCACCACCATGTTGGACCGCGGGGATGCTGCTCTTGGCCTTGAATGCTTCTCCTTTCTCTGTGTCCATGTTCATGGGCTCCAGCACAGAAGTGATAAGCAGCAGCTTTCTTCTCTGTCCTGAAGAAGTGGATCCTCCTTGGTCTCCATGGAGACCAGCCTTGTTGTTGGTCTGCTGGAGTGTCTGATTGACATGTTGCTACCAGAACTGCTCACATTCATCAGGATGCTCTTGGTGCTGGTCCTTGGGATGTATAGAAGCTGTACTTTCTCAAAAGCTGGCAATGAGTTCAAGGAACATGCACAATTTTGGACGTGATATCTACAATAAACACGTTTGAAACACCATCAAAATAGTTAAATTCATCATGAACATCTCTAACATACTGTCTTCCATCTCTTGTTTTTGTCATTTCAAGTCAGAAGGAACCTACTGGTCAAATAAAGGTTCACTACAAATCAAACGTTAGCCTGGCTATGACAAATTTTGGACTGAACTGCGGCTAGTCGGGTTTATTAGGTTGGTCAAGTTAAAGGAACATGTAAAACCTCCAGGAAAACAGCTGTGTGTTTTGACAATGACAGCAGGTTTTGTTAGCTAGCTAAATGCTAACGCGTAAAACACAGCCGTTTTCATTCACTGTCAGACGTAACCGGGACTTTAAAGATGAGTTAAATAACTATTAAACAGCAGTAAAATAAAACTTATCAGCGTCGACGGTCATACAAGTTGCTAAATTGCCATATTTTAGCGACAAAGCTCCATGCTAGCTAACGATGCGCGCTGGAAGCTAACGTTAGGTTGTGGAGTGACTCAGGAAATAGATGGAGCACATAAAGGGCAAAACAAAGCGAGTAAACGTGTTTCAGCGCTTCAAACTAACAACGTCAAAAGACAAATGTTTAGCTTTCCCAGCCCTTAACTTCATGTGAACAAAGTTAGCGCTGTAAATTAGAACTTTAAACACATTTTAGATTCCTTACCAGACCATAGTACTTTCAAGCACCATCTTGGCGTCTGTCGTTGGCTACGTCATCGCGGTGGATTGTGGGTAATGAAGTTTTCAGTTTAAAAGACTAAACCTAAACAGAGGCAAGTTTATGTGGACATTTAAAACTGAAACTTCTATTTATATACATTGTATTTCAACCAGGTTAAAATGTTAAAATTTTATATGAAATATAACCTAGTAACTGTACATATTTATTGAAAATCTACATTATATGTGCACAAGAAGTACGCTTAGACTACAAGTTTATTATTATAAAACTAAGTGTAAAATCTGCCTCACTTGAACTGCAACATAAATGTGCATGCACAGCAATAACTTAATAATGAACTTGAGGAGGACAAATCACAGCTGGAGAGATTCTAACTTTATTCTCATCCAGGTTCACCTTCAGGGCGATGTATTCGCTGTCCTGTCCAGGTTTACGCCAAACATGCTGGACCCCACATAAGCTGAACAAGTTTATGACCACAGAATGTACTCCTAACATTCATCAGGCTTTTTTTTTCTTGTCTTTTAACAAAGTTACATTTGGCACTTTTGCACTAAACAGCCAACAGGGATATTTTTCTTGGGCCTTGTCCACAAAGGTTGATGTTCTTCACTGTCTGCGCTTCACAGAAACTCGTTTCATCTGAAATTTTTGTGCCGAAATGCAGACAAGGGTGTTTTTCTTGTCCTCCATCCACAGAGGCTGATGTTCTGAAGTGTCCTTCACACTGTCTGAGCTTCACACAGACTCTGGTTTCCACTGATAACCACTGTATCAAGTCTGGAGCGGCTGCCTTTGTCTGTTTTTCACAGCTGGATTGTGAAAGTAGTTGACTGTCTGTGGAGTCATTGTAGGAGGACGACCACTGCAGCCCTGATCAGTGCTACTATGGCTCCTTCTAGACCTCCTGGTTACTGCTGCAGCTGCGTTTCCAATGATTTTGACGTCACAATAGGAGTTTTAAATTCTTCTGACGATTCTTTTCCATGTGGAGCCAAGATGCAGACATGCAAACAGAGACAGCCTGTAAGTCCAAAACTGAGAAGGTTCTGGTGTTCACGACTCATTTTATAACCGTGTTCAAACAGTTAGATTTACTGGAAATCAGTTTCAGTGATCACAGGTGCATCCCACTTTTGTTGCATTTGGGGCCTGTAATTTTTCTGTCTTCTTATTTGTTTCGATTGTTCATAAGAGAAAATACTCTGCATTTCAACTTATAAACAACGCAGTCATTGAAGGTTGAGTATCCAGTATCTATTATTTCCTCAGTTTGCATCGGTTATATTTTGTGTTTTAAACCAGTTGAGTCCCTAAAAGCCTCCCTTTCCTTTAGTTTTTCTGGTATCTGACAATTTGGTACACAGTCCTCTGTGATAAAAGCAGGTTAAATGAGGTTTGTGTCAAATAAATGACGAGGCCCAACGTTGTTTTCAGGGTTGCTGCACGTTTTGAACAGACAAGCGTGCAGAAGTGTGTCCTGCTGGACCTGAAGTCTGATGGCCAGAAAGTTTCCATTCTGCAGGAACACACAGTCGTCCGCACTAAGAAAAATAAATAAAAGTGAGTTACACAGCTTGGACATCACAAATAGTTATTTATTTGATTTATCAGTTGGTCACAGTCCTAAGTCCTCTGTTACGAAAGCAGGACAAACAGCACTCATCTCACAAATAAAAGCAGGTCAGAAACCTTCAGACTGCATCTGAGTCATCCAGAGGAAGCAGTCGGGCCACAAGGTAAAACACACTCCGCACCTCTCAGCTTTAAAAGTCATTTTCGAACTGAGACATTTAACAACTAATCTTTTTATTGGTTGCTTGATGAAGACAAATAATTAAATTTGTCTTCCTGTCAACAAAGACTATTTAAAACTTGGATCTTGAACGCTTCAGATGCAGCAAATCGCTGATAAATAAAAACAATATTAAACTGATTACATGACAAAAACAAACTGTTCATTTACAAGTGTAATGTAAAACAACTAGCACTTGTGAATAAAGATCACATCTATTTATTTTTTGTAAAAGAAAGCCACTTTTTTTTAACATAGTGATACTGTGAGCATGAATTAAACAAAATGTATTACCTTTTTATTTGAAACGATTAAATCAAAGTTTCATAGTGTAAATTATTTTTGTGTAATTACAGGTTTTCAAAACTAAAATGTTGAATGAATGTGTTTTCACCAGCGAATAATATAAATAAGCAGTGGTAATCTGTGAAAATGCACTTTTTATTATAGGTATTTTTCTATTGTTTTTACACATGTAAAAATACTTTAAAAATCACACTGCATTTTTCTGACATTGATATTTTTCATTATTTTTACATTATTTTCTATATTGTAAAATAATTTCCCGTCTACACTGATACTAAATTATTGACTTTTTGAACTCTCAGATGGAGAAACTCGTCCTGTTGATGTTGATGTTTGCGACTTGTTACGCAGCACCCAAAGGTTGGTTCACGTTGTTCGGTGCAAGTTTTGTGCACGACAGCGTTCAAAAGAAGCGTTTAGTTCAGTAACAGAAGCTTTTATTTAAGGCTGTGAATATTTTCTGCTCCTCCTAAAGACGTCCGTTGGTTTCCCCTGTATAGATCTATCAGGAAAAGTGTTTGTCTTCCCCAAAGAGACCAACAGCGATCGTGTGCAACTGCTCACATCTAAGACGGAGTTCAGCTCTGTGACTGTCTGTCTCAAGTAGGTGGTATTCAGAAGCTTCTTTTATCAGGGCGCTTTCCATGTTTTCTTTGCACCAATCCGTGGATCAACGTTTGAAGTGCCATAACTTGAAAAACATTGTTGGAAATTTTACAGATTCGTTGATAAGCACATGTGGTTTTTAATGGTAAAACCCTGCTTTGATAGAATAATACAAACCAGTTATATGACGGTGCATCAATTAACATATAACTTTGGTTGAATATTCCACCAACCATAACACTTTTATTTTTTACCCTAAGAGGCTAAATGTTTTTCTGGTGAATGGCACCAATAGGAGCTTTAAAAATGTAGAGTATGGTGCAAGTAAGAGGCATACTTTATGATTTAAAAAAAAAAAAAAAATTAAAAAAATTTTTTAAGTTTATCCCCATATTTAAACACATATTGAGCAGGTGTGGTGGTGAAACCGCTCCAATAGTGGTTCCAACTGCAAGAGTTGTGTAATATTCTTACAAGAAATGTCAAGGTTGTCCAACTCATGGTCACTAATGCGACCTATGACCCCAGATTTTACGTGTTTTACTTAAGAAACAGAACAGAATAAATATCAGACAAATCAGGCATGAACTTTGTTTTTTTTTTTAATTCGGTGAATTGAGGTGCCTTATCCTTCTCACAAACTGCACATCTGTTCAGATACCTCACAGATATCACGAGGAACTTCGGCCTCTTCTCTATGTCCACTCCTGGACACGACAATGACTTTTTGCTCTTTAAGAAAGAGGATAAGATGTCGATACACGCTCGGGACGGCAGCACAGAATTTCTGTCGCTGTCGCTTCCTCCAAACACCTGGCACACTGTATGTAGCACCTGGAACTCTGACAACGGTTTGGGTCAGTTGTGGCTGAACGGTAAACCAGGCATCAAGAGGTTCGTCCACTCTGGGCAGGCCATCACCGGGAGTCCCATCGCCATTCTGGGCCAGGAGCAGGACACCTACGGCGGAGGCTTTGACGCCACTCAGTCATTCTTGGGGATGATTTCTGAGCTCCACATGTGGGACTACGTCCTCTCTGCTGCTGAGATCAAGCGCTACGTGAACGACGAAAACTTCACCGTAGGAAATGTGTTTAACTGGAGAGCTCTGGAATATGAACTCCACGGGAAGGTTATGGTGGACGACGCACCTGAAATGTGGTAACACCAAGGTTTTAACGTCCCCATTGCCACCAAGGGGGTAACCGTTGGACTTCAACATTACTAAAGTGCCAACATAAATAAAACTGAACTAAACTGTTTGCTTGTCATTCATTTTGTTATAACATTTAATATATCTATCCCTTGCTTCACTGATCATATGTACTACAGTGGACAGTTATTCAGATTAAACTAAAACCACGTAGTTCACAATAATGACTTTAAACCAGCAGTGGATGATCTTCCAAGCCTTCGCCGTAACGATCATTGTCTTTGTTAATATTCGTTACCCTGAAACATTGCATCAGAAACCCAAAATGTTGGACAAAGATGGGTGTAAATGTGCCCGTCACGAGAGGAATATCTGCTAAAACCGTTTAGCAAGAATCAACAGAAAGAGAGAAAAAATATTGTCTGGTTAACTGTAATTTAGGGAATACGGTGATCAAAGTTTAGTCCATGTGGCTTTGGTCATTTTCCTCCATATGAGTGAAACTAACTGTGGTGGGTGTCATGCATCAGCGGGGATACTCTGCTCATCGTGGCCCTGTGTGGCAATTTATTTAAAAAAAGAAAGAAAGAAAACCACTAGTTAAATAATATTGTGATATAATTATTTGATACCATAGAATAGAGTGAATTATAGTCATATATATATGTACAATAGGATTAAATACAGCCCTGTGTTATATCACTGAAATGAATGAATTACAGTTAAACAATTTAGTATTTCGTTATGGAAACAAACAAAACTGAAAGACTATGAACGTGACATATGAATATGAAAATAGCCCATCTGTGAGCATTTCTGTTCTGGAACTACAGGCTGTGTTGATCTGCATCACGGCTCCGCCTGAAAAATAATGACCAGAGTAACTGAAAAATCTGATTGTGAGACTTCATAAAGGTGGAAAAGGGTTTAGAAAGATGAGCAGCCAACTAAAAATCAGTGAAATACAGTGTCAGCAGTAATCAGGAGGTCTAGAAGGAGCCATAGTAGCTCTGATCAGGGCTGCAGTGGTCGTCCTCCTAAAATGACTCCACAGACAGTGAACTGCTTTCACAATCCAGCTGTGAAAAACAGACAAAGGCAGCTGCTTCAGACTTGGTACAGGAGTTATCAATGGAAACCAGAGTTAGTGTGAAGCTCATACAGTGTGAAGGACACTTCAGAACATCAGCCTCTGTGGACGGAGGACAAGAAAAACACCCTTGTCTGCATTTCGGCACAAAAATTTCAGATGAAACGTTGCTATGAAAACATAAAAAGAATCCTGATGAATGTTGGAGAACATTCTCTGGTCAGATGAAGATAAATGTGTTGGGCTCAGATGGAGTCCAGCATGTTTGGTGTGAACTTGACCAGGACCACCACAGTGGATGCATCGTCCTGACAGTGAAGCACGGAGGTGGCAGCATCATGATATGGGGCTGCATGAGGACAGAAGGTGTTGATGACATTTATAGATGAATGTCTGAGGATAAACCAGAATACTGTCTGACTAGATGACTCCCAGTCTGCAGAAACTGGAAGAAGAGGAATATTCTAGCAGGAGAACCATCCAGAGAACAAAATCACACGGGAGTTTCTGACGAAAAACAAGTGAAAACAATGAATCCAATAAAACACCTTTAGGGTATTTTAAAGACAATGTCAGAGCAACACAACCCCTCCAACAAAAAGCAGCTGAAAAAATAGTCTCTACAGGATGGTAAAACATCTCAGGAGAAAACTGATACCATTGATGCTGAGGGGGATGTGTATGTCATTAAAAATAAAGGTGGCATATTGAAAAAATAAAGGTCTGACACTCAGTAATGAAACATGCACTGACTAGTCGTGACAGTGAAGCACGGAGGTGGCAGTATCATGATATGGGGCTGCATGAGTGCAAAAGCTTGTTTAAAAAGTACTATTACTCACAAAAAACACACAGTGAGAAAAAATCAGATAATACTCGATATAAGACGACCAAAACCAAGATTTAGAAAATATGTTTAATCATTTAAAATCAGACATGAAAACATCACCACCACATAACTGAAACATGGCAGGAGGGACAGGCAGCACATATTGCATGAGAAGGCATTTCCGTGACTCGTATGTACATATACACATTTTATACACAGTAAAAATATAGTAATCGAAGCATATAGGACAACCAGCAACGTTGGCTCGCGGGCCGTGTGAAACATTCATGTAGAAAAAGCATGGGAGATTAACAACCCAGAATCATCATGGAGAGAATATAGCTATCATATCACAATCTAAACATGAAATATAAAAAGTGAAATTGTCAAATTGTCCCACCTTTATAGGCAAACACACGCTATAAAGTTCCAGACATCCTTCTGTCAGTATACAGTTTACTTACAATCATCTAATAATACAACTGTAATCATTTCAACCTACAGCAATCAGTCGCAGTAATAAATATACTTCTGGCAGATTGTGGTTCATATTGCATTACTTCAGATTTATTGTAGTGTCTACTACTGAGTGCTGTGCAACCTTTCAAGCACCAAAGGAAGATGTTCTTCTTGTGCCAAAGGCGTAAGTACATACGACGGAACTGGTCTGCATCCAGCGATTAACCAGTACCAACCCATTTAGAGAACAGAAAATATGTAAATCCAGGTGTTGCAAAACATGACCTGGACTTTTTTTTTTTTCCTTCTAATCAGAAAGAGATTCTCGGAGTGCTTCTTTTCCTTTCTTTGGTTGTTTGACTCAACCAACTGAATTTATAACAACTTGAAACGATGGATATTTCACGTTTAAGCAAAATACCAGAATAACGACGCAAAGGTGGTCAACATTTGTAGTGAATTGAACTTGAAATACGCAGGAATGTGGAGTTGGGATTTTGAAATGTGTCAGGCTACAAAGTAAACCGAAAACGACAGGAGCTGCGTGTCGGACACAGCTCATGAGAGGCTTAGCACAAACACGTCCAGTTTAATTGATAACTTTAAAACACGGGTCGACCCAGTGTTATTACCTCATAGTGCACATCAGATTAACGTCCAGGAGTGTCTAATGTCACCGTCGTGGGAACTCGTCGCCCGTCTGCGCTGCTCTTCTCTTTGGTGCCACGACTTGTTTTATAATACAAAACCGCTCAGTCCTTAATCCTCTGCTGTGCATTCGATGAGTTAACTCACTTTTCTGTATATTCACAACGCACATTTCCCCCCCGTCTCTCCCTCTCTCTGCTGCATAGACCACATGTGCTTCTTAAATGAGATGATGTCTCGCTACAGTAACTCGGTAGTGATTCAAATTTCTGCATCAGAAATATCTCACGGGGTTAAAACAGAACAAAACAACCTTTCTACCAGCCACACCGGCGGCTCGTTTTAGTGCCCTAAACAAGAAAATAAACACAAAACCTTTTTTGTGAAGCAGATTTTTTTTTTCTTTTTTTTATGAACAACCACATAAAAGCTGAGTAAGACTACAGAGAAAGAAAATAGAAAATCATACACACGTTGTTAGTAATATTGGTCCGAGAGTGGATGTGGGCGGGTGTCATTTCTGTAACCAGCAGAAATGAATAATAGGAGACAGACATCCTCGCTGTCTGCTGTCAGGAGAGTTAAAATGATTAACCGAGCTCACCAGTCGACATACCGAAACAAGAAGATAGTGTTTAAAATCTGAGACTCCTTTGATTGGTTGGTCCAGACGTACAAATGGCAGTTGGATGACTCTCAGCTGTAGTGATAAGGCAGGTTTCTGACTAGAACCTGTAAAAACGTCAGTTATGTGTCGGAGGGGGAGGGACGAACATGTAAAAAGGCACGGACATGACAGAGAACAGACAGCGACTTGAAAATATTACCGCTCCTTTAACAGCATCTATTGGCCGACAGCTCTTCGCTCTGCATTCGTTTGCACATATGGCCACATCAGAGGGGGGGGGATGTTCGTTTTTTTTTGGGTTGTATAAATGTGGTCTGCCATGTTAATAAGACACATTTTAAGTAAAAAAAAACAAAACACTGTAATGTACATTCAGCAGCGGCGGCGGCAGCGAGATCTGAGCGGCGCCGCTGTGGCTTCCAGGAGAATAACTTATAACAAAACATTATCTTCTGCAAACAAAACACTGTACATCCACAATCAGTAAAGAGGGAAATGCATACATGATTGCGGAGTTGACAGCAGCAAAGTGTTGATCTGAATGATTTCTGCGGCTCGTTCGGAGTGCCGAGGGGAAATGTGTGTGTGCACTAGCAGGAACGGCGGAGCGCGAGTCACTGAAATGTGAACCCACTTGGACTGAAACGCAGGAAAATATTCCCTCCTCCTCCTCCTCCTCCTCCTATGCAGGCGATGCCCCTCATGTGCTCTTAAGTGTGTGAAGCGTTTCTGCCCACTCACATCTCTTCATGCTGTGAACTGTGGGAGAATCTGAGTGCCTTCACCATCCGATGGTGACAGGGGCTTTTTTTTTTTCATTTTTCCTTTTTTTTTTTTTTTACAATATACATAATTTTGTCATCGCAGCAGGACACGAATGCTGCAACAGCTACTAAAAAGCTGCCACGTTGGGATTTTTTTTTTTCTGGGTGTGAATCAATTAGACTTTTGGGACAGGTTTGGACAAATGCACAGCGACAGTGTTGATGGCTGAAGAAAGCCTAAAGCCTACCACACCAACGTCTTCGTCTTCCCGTCGTTGCTTTCCTCTGCTTCATCCGGCAGCGTCCTATATTCGCTGCAGAGGTGAGCAGAGGTGCAGCGGCAGGGTCTGCAGTGGATGGGCGACTTTCTTTATCTTCACCGTGTCCGGAAGCGCCGTCCTTAGATGGCACCAGTTCCGTTTTCTTTCTTTCTTTTGTTGTTTTTTTTACTGTGAAGTAGAAGCTACTGTCAACACCAAGTGAAGAATACAAGAAATATTCATAACAATAAAATCCAGACTTACAAAACAGATATTGGTCTCGGGGATGATGTCCGACAGAGAAACTACATCTTCGTTTCCAGACAGGTTGCCTGAATTATCTACAGCGCCTTCTGCCCCCAAACTGAAACAGATAAGCAGGATTTAAAGCCACACAACACCAGGAAAAGAAAAACCATTCATTAAGCGTTATTTATCGACCTGTCTCTGCGCTCCATACCTGTGGGAAGGACCCTGGTCATAGTCTGTGTTTGCAGACTTGTGCACTTCCACTCCAACAGACCTGCAGAGAAAAGTCAGAGTCAAACTACAAGACATTAAAACAGCACAGATGCTCATTTCAATTTCTTTCACCCTCTGAACCCCAAACCTGCCGGTCAGTGTAAAAGGCAGGTTATTAATATTATTTTTTAAATAAAATAAATACATTTATCAGAGCAAGAAATTGTAAAAAATAATGAATTCAGGTCTCAGTTTTTTGTGGTGCATAGTTTTGCTCAGAAAATTCCGCAAATCGAAGCATTGTGATATTTCATCTAAAATCACTTTGGAAACCTGAAAAATCTAACAAAAATAAATAAATAAATAAATAAATTCTACACTTCTTGACTCAGCACCGACCAACAAAAATTTTCGGTTGAACTGCAGGCTGTGTTTACGCCGAGCAGAGAGGAGACAAATCAGAGAAACTGAGAACAAAACAAAACGCACTGGATCAAAAATAAATCAAATCAAAATAAATGCAGCATGGCTCAAAAACTGTGAACAGAGGAGCTGGAAGGTACATTCAGAAACATGCTGAAACATCTTTCTATAGCTGATGTGCAGAGTAGAGAGAAAAAGTTTGCAAAAATACTGTAATTTCCAGACTATAAGCCACTACTTTTTTTCACACACTTTGAACACTGCGGCTTGAACAACGATGCGGCTAATTTATGGATTCTTACGATTTTTCCAAATTTGCCTCGAGACAAAAGTGACACTGAGAGCAACAACGACAGAGAGACTGAGGAAGTGTGTGACGAAGGAATTCTGAGGCTGTTCAGTTCCGACACTGAAGAAGACGACTTAGTGGTTTTAGTGCAGGAGGAAGAGGAAGATGAAGATAGCGATCAATGACTTTTCCTGGTAGACTGCTGTTTTTATTTTCTTAACCAGTCGTGTTACAGGCACTGTTCAGAGAAAAAGCATTTACGTATTTGTGTATGTTATCGTTGCATATTTAATTGAAAGTTAGAAAAATCTTCCTGTGTAAATATCTCATGTTACAACGTGGACACCTGCGGATTATAGACAAGTGCAGCCTGTATATGTACAAAACTTGTTTTCTTTTTAAAATTAGTGGCTGCAGCTTATAATCAGGTGCGCTTCATAGTCTAAAATTTACAGTAAAGGGACTCCAAATTTGTCCAAAATAAGGAGAAAAGAAAATATTCTGGATCAATAAAATGAATGCAGCATGGCTCAAAAACAAGAGGAGCGAGTTTTTGGAAGATACAAGTTGATGTACATAGTCTTGTGCAAGATATGTAAAAGTTGTAAAAATGTGTCATACTGTACAGTCATTCTGCCTCCAGCCATAGCTGTGCTGTGTCCATAGAGGTGCAAAAAACACACTGAAACCGTTTGGAGTTCGACTTAATCGATCAACAGTTAGTCGTTAACATCTCTATCAAACACGGCGTGGAAGAGAGACGGTGGACGTACCGCAGGGGGGGAGAGGTGGAGGCAATTCCAGTGCTGCCGAGCGATGAGGTGGACAGGTTGGCCTCGCAGTCAGCCGGGTCTGCCAGCGGAGGCGTCCGAGGAACCAGGTCCGGTCTGTCCGACTGCACGCCTGACAACAAAAACGTACAATCAGTCTGAATGCAGCTACAATATACCACGAAGCGAGGGTAGTGGGTTAGCAGGCATGTCGAGCTTAAAGTCAGAGTTCTCAGTGTCACAGAGGTGGCTGTCTTTTTATCTGCTAGATCTCCATGGTAACTGATGCTGTGGAGCTAGATCTCCATGGTAACTGATGCTGTGGAGTTAACGTGGTCTGGAGCAGGGAATGTTCAGCATTTCGGATTTAAATCGGCTGGAAAGAGCGTCTCTCTTTAACCAGATCATTTCCTGACTATTTTTTATGAGTGATACAGATTCTCAGCTGAGGGAATGTGTTTTATCTGCTAACATGCTGAGTTGTGCCTCACTAATATCACTGAATGAAGCCGTGTAGTTACAGCATCATGTTGCCATGGGAACCAGACGTATTTAGTTGGTGATGCAGAAATCACATAAATATGTTTTCATGTTTGGCTCTGATTACTCTGCTGCTGCTGCTGCTGCAGCTGATAGAACACAGATTAGAACATGGATTTTTCTACTGGTATTTATTACAGAGAATATTCAGTTAATAACATTAGTTTCACTTTGATTTGGCCAAAAACTAAAGTGATTTCCTGCATTATGGCACAGTGTCAGACCTAAATGCACTTCAATACAAGATCAGGTTTAAATGTATGAAGTTTAAAGTTTAACTGTAACGTGCAGCTGTCAGTTGGAAATAAGCGGCTGCATCAGTAAAATAAAGAAGAGAACGCCTCCTTCTGTGTGAGTCTGAAGCAGAAAGCCTGAGCTAACTCAGCGTTAGCTAAGTTGCTAAGTTTTTGCAAAAATGAAAGCCTGTCTACGGCAAACGTGCTTCACTTGAGTCCCTCAACATGACCACCTCACTTGTGACGCCTCAATTCTTACCGCTGTCAGCCTCCGACTCTGTGCTTTTGAAGTGATGGTGGTAGACGAGTCTGGAGTCTCCGGCCGACTGTCCAGTTGCGTGGGAGAGTGGGGTGGGACCTCCCAGGGTGGGCGCCCTCCGGAGGCCTCCTTGACCTCCACCACGGCTCTTCTTAGAGGGTGAGGGTTTTACTGGAGAGGACAGAAAGGTGATCAAACCAGAAAACGTGAGTACTCTCGCTGATGTTTAACGTGCGGTCAGTGAAGCAGGTTTCTACCTTATGGCGTTCAATCAGCCTTAAAACAGGTGCACATTAAAACCAGGTGCGTGCATGTGATACGAGCTATCAGAACTGTTTTTTATGAGTCTCATGAAGGACAATTTCCACTCACCCATTGCTAGGTGGACAAAGTACTCAGACCTTTTACTCCAGTAAAAGTAACAGCATCAAAGAGTAGAAGTACTCTGGTACAAGTAAAGTCGTACATCCACATTTTTACTTGAGTGAAAGTGCAGACATATCAACACAAACTGTTCATTGTGCAGCTTGATCCATTGAAGACCTAAAGGCTTTTACATCATTGATGTGTTCATGTGTTTGTTACTTCAATGAAGCTAAATTTAATTTCTACTGCTGGGTAGTTTGTAAATTTCCGTCCTGCGTGGGGATGGGATAAGATCTTGATCTAATAATAAAGGCATCACGGTGGGACTTTCCAACAATAACACATCATCATGTATTAGTTGATTATGTTTTCTATTATTAGTCTGAACATTCAGAGTCACTAAAGTCATCCAAAAAATGGGGTGAAGGACAAAGCACAATTTCTGTCTCTGAGCTGTCGTACAATACAGGAGCAGAACATGGAAAAACTCAAGTATAGCAATCCGAGACCCATTGGAGCGTCAACTTATATCGTGTGTATCAGGTGTCAATAACTTTGCATTTACTGTTTGATTGTTGTATTTGCACAAATACAATTTGGTTCACTGTAATTTTTTTCACTAAAACTCTGGTTCACTTTAAACATGTACTCATATCTGTGGCTGCACATGGTAGTTTAACTCTCCTTTTGCTTCTATAACCTGTTGCCCTTGTCTACAAGCACTCATTTGGTATTTTGTGTCACTACTTTAAGAGCAAACTAAACACCGGAGTTCAATTCCTTGTATGTGCTCGCATACTTTAACTTCAAAATTGTACACGGAGATGAAGTGCTCCCTCACAGCTACTGTTCTTCCATCACGTGCATTTGTCTGGTTTCTATGTGCACAAGTCTTGAGACCAAATAAACATTCTGCATATTTAAATCGAGCACACATGCGCACACTTACGTGGAATTTTCTTGAACGCTGTGTTGCACATGAACTGCTGGAAACGTTCTGCATAGAAACCGGGTCTGTGAACTGAAACGGTGTCCTGAAGAGGTAAAACAGGAACGAGACGATTATAAACGGACTGAAGTGCGCATGCAATCAGAACTGTCCTATATCATTATTATTATTATTACAGGTGCACCAGTGAAAAATGTCCAAAGGTCACTGATGAACTGACTGATCATTCCGGTTCTAGATTATATGTAAACACACAGTACTTGTAGCCGGTCTGCTCAGTTTCACTGATATTTTGTTTATCTTGACAGGGCGTGTGGTGTTCAGACTCTTACCCCGTCATGGACCAAGGCCTTCCAGGAGTGCTCCAGCTTCTTAATAAACCTAAATCATAAAACAGAATTTAAAAATCTGGTGCAATTTACAGAAATGAAGAACATAGATGTGAAGTTTGCTTGTTAAATTAACCCTATACACCCCAAAAGAAGCAGGCTGCTTTGAAAAGCATGTGATTTATTTTAAACCACAGAAATTACAAAACGTATCCCAGAAAGAAAATCTGGAATAAACACTGAACATTTAACTTTATGCCAATCTAATCATGTACGTCGTGAAAAACAACCAGATCTAAGCCAAAAATCTGGATATTTAATCAAAACCATTTTATTTTAAATGTTTCATTTCAAAATTTGCCAAAAATAAACTATTTGAATTAACCAGATTCTGTAATAAACAAACAAACAAAAGAAAGTCTGTATTCTTGTGCACAACTGAGAAGCTATTAATGACCCAGCTGCCAACAGTCATGTGACAAAAAAATGAGGGTCTTGCAGCTGAACTGCGATGAACTGCAGGCTGTTTCCACAGAGCAGCTAAGAGACAAGAATAAAAATAAATTTAAAACATAAGCAGCCAAATATCTACAGTTTTTCTAACCCCCACATGTTGCTGTAAAATAAACAAAGAAATGTAACTTTCTTTTCTTTTCTTTTTTGGGGGATTTATGGCATTCTAACTGTGTCATTCTGCACAGATGAGACATTTCTGAGTTCTCTCTCCTAGTCGTGGTTGTGCCGTTTCCATACAGGCGCCAGGAACAAAAACAAAAACCTGCTTAGGGATCAGAGGGTTAAGAACAAAGTGAAACTGATTGGAGACCCACCTATAGGACTGGAGGATGTCGATGATGCCGATGTAGATCAGCAGCCTCTCTCCTCTAGTATTACGAGCTGGAATACCCCCCATGCTGGAAGACAAAACATGCTGCGTCTTTTAAATTGTCTTCTAAATTTCACATTTTACAGACTGAAGCGCCGGCGGTCGCACTCACTGGTCTTCTGAATCCAAAGCTCCCTTCCCTCGAGCCTCCCCCTGGATGGACTCCATGGCCGTGCAGTACAGGCTCTTCTGGGCCTGCGGCCGGCGCTGGTCGGGGGTCACTGCGCCCTCCGACCCGGCGCTGTCGCCCGAGTTGCCCACGCCGCGCTCCCGCTCTCGGCTGGCCTGGTCCATGTTGTGGATGCCCATCAACAGGCTGTAGTCCATGATCTTGAAACTCTGCAAGAGCTGCAGGAAACATGCAACGAATGAGCCGCAATGGGCATCAACAGCCACAGACTCAGACTAGGAATGTCTTCTGGTGATGCTTCTGATCAGAATTTTACCATTTTAACACAAAAAACACACGGGTTCGTAGAAAATTCTTGAGAATTATTCTTAAAAAGAGAAAGTAATCTCAATAACAGTGATAAACCAGTGGTGTGTCCGTTTGCATTATTGGTTCTCTGTGTAATAACACAATGCAGCTATGATTATTTATTTCACTTTACAGTTGTATTCTGATTTTCCAAGTACAATGCACATTTTTACATTTTATGCTTCTACTTTTCTATTTATGTTTATCTTTATGTTTTCTACTGCTTTAAGACTTTAAATGGGAGCAACTGTAACACAAGCAATTCCCCCTCAGGGATCAATAAAGTATTTCTGATTCAGGAGCCAAAACAACAGCAGAACATGCACGCTGTTAGTGAAGCAAAAATAAGCAAATTGGCTTCATTTTTACATTTTTTTGTTTGCTTTTATTGTGTAGTTTACTGAATTAAACACAACTGCCAATAATACGTGAAGCATGACGTGTTGATCTTTTTGCGCAACCTCTTTTTGTTTTACGAGGTTAAAGTCAGAAATAAGACGATAAGAAACTTTAATTTGACTCTCAATCTCGATGCAACCTTGAACTGATAATGCGCCTTGAACTTTATATTTAGAAGGTGGAGTTCTCTTGTAAACAAACAAGTTGGTTCTAACAAAAATGTTACGAGCGTACCCCGCCGCATTACTGTTATTAAAGTTAATTAAGTAGATTCAGTTTACACATGTATTTTTTTTAATCTATGTGGTGGAGGGCAGTAAAACTCCAAACGTAGAGCATTTGGGATTGTCCGTGTTGAACTCGTATGTGACAACCACAGCAGGCGTTACTGTCTGTGAAGTTGCAGTGCGACTTTGTAAGATTCGGAGTGAGAAAATTAGGGTGAAGACGCAGAAACAAAGGGTTGATCAGACAACATTTTGGCAACTTAAACTGCATTTTTACAAGGAAAACCATCTCCATCCAGACCTTAGCATAGTTGCAGAAATAACGAACATGCCTTAAAAAAACCATATCAAATGACTATTAATGTACATTTAGCGTGCAGGTGCCGGTTTACGCATAAAGCAGGAGGTTAGTTAGATGTAGAAATGAAGGAAAGGTAAGACCACAGCTTTCCTTCTCTGCGCAGCACATACAACATTAAGCATAGTGAATTCAACGCTGGTAGTCGAGGCGTATGAAGCAAACACAGGTAACAGCGTCGTTTTAGGGAACCCAAAACTCAGAATTATTGTAGACTCTAAGCATAAACATAACAGAAGAAATGCGTTTTGAAATTAAAATAAATTGGTTGTAGCCTTAGAATACACGCCCAGTGACAACAATGAGTCAAACTCCATCAGGCCGGAGAAGCAGGATTAAAGAAGAACTCAGATCTTTTACTCAAGTAAAAGTACCAAAGAGTAGAAATACTCTGGCACAAGTACGGTCCTAAATGTAAATTATGACTTGAATGAAAGTGCAAGAAGTATCAACATCATACCATACTTAAAAGAAGAAAAGTTAAAAACACTAATTGAATTTTAGCATAATGTAAATTCTATTACTGGATTGTAATTATTGATTAATTATTGAGTTTTGCACTGAAAATAAAGCTAATTGAATTATTTCCTGCTAGGTAGTTTGTAAATTTCCTCCTGCATGTGGACCAGAAGAGATCCTCATCTAATAATAACGTGTTACAACAATTATACATCACATATTTGTTGATTACGTTTTCTATTATTAGTCTGAACATTCAAAGAGACTAAAGTTATCTACTAAATATAGTGGAGTACAAAGCAGAGCATTTTCCTCTGAATTGTCGGTGTTTCCAAACCGGCGGTCTCCATTTTAGGGGTGCTAAAACGCTAGAGAAGTGTGGACGCTTGGCACAAGAAAAATAACAGAAGCTGTGTGTTTTTAAATGAAGAAGGTATCAGTGGGACGCAGCCGTAGAATACACAACAGCAATTTAAACTCCAGCAGAGCTCCACAAAAGCGAAATAACAAGAAGCCACGATAAAGAAGAGCATTAGCAAACCAGAATTCGTGCTGCTATTCTGCGCTAACTGCAGTAAAAAATGCCAGCAGACTGCTCCCATCACTTCAAATGGTGTCGGCACTCCGAGTAAACAAGGTATTAGTTTGCAGTGTCATGCAAGCTTGAGTCATCTCCTCAACACTGGAGAACACTCTGGAAGGCGACAAACAAACACTGTCTAATGAACCTGAGGAGAAAACTGAACATTATCTACATGTATAACTGAATATACATAAATAATAACGAAGACCTGAATGCTCAGAAAGTCAGATTCGAATATATGTTTCTGTAATGAGGTGATGTATTCAGCTCGTTTGCTCTCTGAGGCACTTATTATACGATGTTCATTATTTCTATGTGAGGCTTTATATCAAGGAAAACAAGTATTTTATATTATGGAACTGCTGTTTTTACATTTATCTCAATATATATATATATATTAACAAAAACTGGCAGTAGAGCGAGCTGTCTGGAATATGTTTAGACCCAAACCAGACACTAGACATGTTGAAAACACGTGCCTAACGGACACAAACGTCATTATTTAATTCACTGAAATGCTCACATACAGTCGCCTGGTTGCAGAGAGGCACCGTGAAGAGAAAAACCAAGCAAATGTTTGCACTAAATAACTTTATAAGCGTGTGAATTTAGGGAAAATATGTCAGTGTGATTCTTCTAACAAATGTTACTATCCAAGATATACTACGTATTTATATTATGCAATAGATTTAAAACAAGTGATACATCATTAGCACAAGAGACACCATCATATAAACAAGTGCTCTATATTTCTAATGAATAGATGAGAACTTGAAGAAAACCTGAAAATGTAAACTGCTTCCAACCCGTATTTATTCCCGTTTTTAAATGGCCTAAATGACAGAACAGATCCTACAAAAGCTGGAACCGTGTTAGGTTAAATTAATTAATTAATAATAACAAAAAAATAAGAATAATTGGAATAAACAGGTTGGTCAGACAGATTGCATAATATACATTCTTTACTGAAGATTTGCTAATTGCACTGTTTCACATTTCAAATTACATTTTCAGCCCTGTTGTATTTTTTTGTCATCCCTTGTGTTTTCTGTGGCATCATTTAGACCAACAACAACTACAGCTGTTTCATTCAATCATTAGTTTTCAACATAGTTTACAGTTTGTGGCTTTCCAACTGGGTCAACTTGAGGAAAATATCTAATTACAATAAAAAATTTTTATATATTTATGTTGTGTAATAGATTTAAAACAAGTGATGGATCATTACCATATGATAACCATCTTAACATCATTATAAAGAAGAACTGAATGTTCAGGAAGTCAGACTCCACTGTGTTTCTGAGCTAACGCATTCAGCTCGTGTGCGATCTGAGCTTGTTTTGGAATTTTAATGCACTTATTGTACGATGCCTGAATAGAAAACACCGTGTCTCTGACTCACCAAGCAGTCCCTCTGTATAGTCTTGCACAGGGCATTGTAGTTGTCGGCTTCGAGCAGCAGGCCGTCGGGCAAGTCTTGGATAAAGTCCAGGTCTTTGTAAATGGGAACAGCCTTTTCTCTCTCCTTCGGGGAGGCTCGTCTCTTATAGGTGGAGCCCTTCAGGTCGTATTTCAGGTGCATGGGGATGATCCGCGGAAGGAGATTGTTCATCACTACGATGCGGATGTTCTTGCCTCCTGCCTGAACACAGTACAGTCCGTAGAACTTGGGCAGCAGGGTGCGCTTGTTTTGGTTTATATTCTGGAAGGGAGAAGGAATATGGAAAACAAATTAGAAATCTGACACACTCAAAAGAAAGTATTAAACCTCTCCTGATAATTATAGTTGCTGCAAAAATAAGAACGCGCTCCCACTTTCCACTCCATCCAGACTCACCATGAAGTATCCGGGCAGCAGTTTCTGGAGAAACTCGGCCTCTTTGTGCTGAACAGTCTTGATGATGAACTCGTCGTCGCTGGAGACGTAGAAGAGCGAGCCACTGGCTCCGGGGTTCGACAGCTCAATCAGCGGCTCATTACACAGAGAATACTAGGAGAGAGAAAGCAGAAGAAAAAAAAAAAAAAGCCTGTGTTAAGGTTTGCAGCTTTGAACCACATGCCTTTATTCAAAAACAATAAGAAAAAAAAATAAAAGTAAAATTAAAAGAAATTCTATAATTTATTAGAGAAGAAAAACATAAAAAAAACAAAAAACAAACAACAATCCAACTGAAACTACTGTTTGTTTGATTTAGCGTGCCCTTCAATCAGAAAAATTAATTAAGATTAATTAAGAATTAAGATTTATTAGATTTTATGCAAATTTTATGGCAAAAAGAAACTACTCACACCAGATTCTGTAAAACAAAATAAACACATAACATTTTATTTATTTGTTTTTTTTTAAATTCAGCGCTTCTTAGCACAACTGTGAAGCCGTTACTGACTCGGCTACGACCAACAGTCATGTGACAAAAATTCAGAGACTCTTTGGCTGAACTGCAGGCAGCAGAGATGAGACAAGTACGAGAACAAATTAGGGAGATTAAGACAAAAATAAAGCATTTTTGATCTATTGATTAAATGCAGCATGGCTCAAAATCAGCACGCAGATGAGCACGTTATTGGAGGACACATTGAGCATGGGGAAACATCTTTCTAGAGTTGATGTGCAGAGTAGCGTGAACAATGTCAAGTTTGCAAATTGTATTTAGTAAAATATGTACAGTACATGGAGATGTCTTTTCTTTCCAGTACCTGTGGGAACTTGTAAAAACTTGGTGGTACGAGTTTCTTGTAGGTTTTTGCAATTTTGTACAATACATAATCAAAGAAATTCTACTTTAGTCTTTACGGTTTCTGTCATTATAACTGTGACTAATTGCACAAAAGCCCATTTTCATTCTCTACTTGTAGCCGTGATTGTGTTGTTTCCACAGAAATGCAGGGTTTTCTATTGCAGTAAAAAATAAGTAAAAATGTGTTAATTTAAAGTGTTAAATAGGTTGTCACTGACTGGTGTAGTTGGACTAAAGAGACATGATTTCTAGTTGGTGGTGGCGTTTCTAATGCTGACATCAGGAAAAAAAAAAAAAAAAAAACAGACAGCAGAGAACCCACGAGAAAAATAAGCCAAAAGCAAGAAATATGACAAATAGTGCTTCACATTCAGACTGTGCTGGCGCCGTTCTACGTCCATGGTGCCAACAAATGTGGCAGCGTTGCAGACAAAAGCCACTTTTAAACAAAAATTACAGAAGCTACACAGTCAATAATCAGTTTGTTGCAGTGAATGAGAAAGCCTCAGGCCTTGTTGGTGATTTTTTTAAACCCCGAAAAGGAAGCGGCCTGCAAAAAAAAAAAAAAAAAAACAGTGCATACATGTACATAAACACAAATATGAAGGGCGACTAAAATAAGGGAAGTTGTTGTGAGCGTAGCGGTGTGTGCTCAGTGCAGGCACTGACCAGGTAGTCATCTGGCCGGATGCCAAACAGCTCTCTGAAGTAACGGAAGGCGATTGGAGCGTAGGTCTTAAAGCGGAAGTCGCTGTAGTGATGAGCAGGAGTCAGATTACTGCCTTCACTGGAAACACAAGAAGCACACAGGCCATTCAGCTCCACGAAAGGAGGAAAACATAACTTAAGTCTGATTTTTTATAACTTCTGATACCGACCTGGGGAAGAAGATGCTTTCGACCACCACAAAGTCCTGCATGAGAACGTCCCTCTCGGCCTTCTGGCTTAAGCTGCCGACTGTGTGGGCGATGCCCAATTGGATTGCACCTTTGAGGGCAGATGACGTGGTCTGGAGAGGTCAGAGAGGAAAAGAGAGTGAGCAGTGGAATAAACAATCTTCCACCCGTGTGACTTCTGCCGTTTCACTCGCTATTCTTGGGCTGCCAGCAAGAGGAACTTCCAAGCTAACTTTAGAATACAAACAGCAAACGTGCGGGCCTACACACTGCACTGTTTCCAGCTCGTAGCGCCGCTGCTGGCATCAACAAACCCCCCGCTGACCCCCAGCCGGTTCTCACCTTCTTGTAGGTGGTCTCTCCCGTGGTGGTCTCAACGCCCCGGTGTCCGATGGTCTTCTTCATGCTCTGAGTCGTGCCTGAAGAGCCGGGCATCTGAGGAGCGAGGTGGCAAAATTAAACGTGAACGCAGAAGACAAAGAGAACATCCTCACACGACAGCTGTATCCTGGGTACCCGGGCTGAACAGTAACTGAACCCTCTGTGGAGGTCAGACTGTGAAGGGAACTCATGAAATGTCAGCCGGCCTATTTTCAGGGTAATTTCGCTGCCTTTACTTTAAAGCTCTTATCTCGGTCATTAGAAGGAACATGTCTTGTCTTGTTTTTATCACAACAGTCGAGGCTATCTCAACCCGTCAGCTGACATGATAATGCCTGCAGAGTTTGAATATTAGGCTTTACGTTGGGGAAAACAAATATTTCACATTATGGAACTGCTGTTTTTACATTTATCTCACTATAAAATGCAGGCTGTAGAAAGATCTGTTTTAATTATGTTCAGAGTCGAACCTAAAAACATGTGTCTAATGGGAATAAATGTCATCATTCTATTCACTCATGTGTTCACAAACAGGAGCCGAAATGCAGGGAGGCGTCGTCAAGGGAGGCGAGCCAGACTAATATTTGCAGAAAACAACTTTGCAACCAATTCAACCATAAAGAAGAAAGGTCGAACAATTTGGGGGAAAATATGTATTTACATTTTCTATGACAACTACTGTAATTTAGCACAGAATTCATTTCATTCAAAACATATGATGATGCATCATTAGCATCAAAATATTAACTCGTCTATGTTCTAATGTAAAGATGACCTTTTAAAGAAACATGTATTTATTACTACTTTTTAAATGGCATAAAGGATAGAACAACTGTCATAAAAGCAGTGACTGTGTTGGGCTAAATCCTAATCCTAAACTGCAGCTTTTGTGATTTGCTGTTTAAATTGTGATTTCAAAATAATATCAATCAATTTTTTTAGTCCTTTTTTCCCAACTAGAGCTGAACGCTAGGCAAAAAAACAATAAACAGAAAGGCATATTGTGATTATTTTGATGGCAACAGCAACTGTGAGATGAGTCACGATGTCAGTGAGAATGGTCATTTCATCAAATCTAAAAAACAATGTGATTTTGTGGCAGTGGCTGCAAGTAATGTACATTCATATTGTTGATTAATCTGTATAGTATTTTCTGGATCAGTTGTTTGGTCAATAAAATCTCAGAAAAAGTAAAAGATATTCTGTCTAGCGTCATAGAAGAGGAAAGAAACCAGAAAATATTTACATTGAAGAAGCTGAAATCACAGAATTTCATCTTAAAAATGACTCAAACTGATTAATGGATTATCAGAACAGTTGAATTAATCGTTGCAGCTCTACTCTGTACCAAACAAGCTTGTTCTTTTACATATGATTCAGAGCTCAGGGCATCTCTGTAGCAACACAACGTTTAATTTAAAATGTGACACACTTATCCTTATCTGAGCCACATTTTGCTAATATTTCGACTCATTGTTCGGCCCGAACTCTGCTTTATATAAAACCAGTGGCTCCTGTGTTTTTCCAGTCATTTATTTACCTGTTATCACCTGTGTAATAATTCTAGCCTCCTACTTTTGCAATAAACCTCTGTTGACTGACGTCTGAAGCTGCAGGCCTGAACTCTGTAAACCTGCTCACCTTCCCTCCTCACAGTTGACAGGTACAACATTCACACTGCTTGGGGGTGTGCATAACGTAGAGGCGTTTAGAGGCAATTCCTTACCTCTGCAGGGGCCATTTTTCGAATGCTGCTGGTCCCTAGAGACAGAAAAACTCTGTTAATTTACAGTGTGAGGATGACAATACCTGAAGAATCAGCAAGGAACATTCTCTCTATGCAGTCTGTAAGGAACTCCTTCGTTCAAACTCGACTTTGAGACCCAGATAAACGCAGACCCATGCAGCGAGCGTCACAATCTGGAAGCGTTTGAGTCAGATGCTTCGGCCGTGGAAGAATTTGTTAATGACTGTTTGTGAAACCCTCCGCTGGTTAATTAGCGGGGCTATTTCCAACGCCGGCTGATGACTGCGAGGCCGATGACGAGCCCAGACCTAAATGCGGCCGCAGTTATTAGCTGCTGCACTCGATAATGCAGCAGCTCTACGTGAACTGGAACTGCTTCTCCCATGAGCTGGCTGCTCCACATTCATCTGCTCCCCGAGGAAGTGTGTCAACATCACCACCTCCTTTCAATAAAAAAAACCTGCAATTTCCAGCTTTTTCCATCACAGCCCACTTTGCGACTCGCAGTAACTTATCACTCAGATTAAGTGTTGAAAGTTTGCACCGAGCAAAGACGTCCGTTTGTGTGCAAAATGCATCGATAACCGAAGAAAAGGAGGGAAATTCCAGCACACGGACATTTTGTAAGAAAAGGGTACACAAGTGGAATAAAAGAAACCTGATTTCTGGTGTCCTTACATAAACTTGCTGTGTAAACTTACTACCTCGCCCACTCTGCAATCACCTCTAGCCTGTAACCAATGGCAACATCCACTCCAATACTGCAGTACAACAGGTCAATATACACTAAAGGATCGATGGCTGAGAGGATTGTACACCTGTAGTAGCAATCCTGAAAAATTCATCTGTCCTGTGTCCACCCCCCCCGGCAAATTTCAACCCAGGTGATGCAGAGCAGGAGGACATTTCCACCTGAGAAATGTGAGTGGATTAATAATAAGGCAGAGTCACTGAACGCCATGCAGCTCTTCTCAGTTAGCAGGGACACACTGCAATCCGCCGGGAAACAATGAGCAGCGTTCTGCCCACATTCCCTCTCATTATGTAAAACAACACACTATATCACCACTACTCATGCAGTTTCTGCTCACACACACAGAAACAAGTCACACACACCCATGCGAGTACCTCGCTGCAACGCTCTCCTCCAGAACTGAGTCCTGATATCTGTGGAGCAGGACATGGTCAGCCTGGCTGGCTTTGACGAATGCATGAGCAACAGATTTCAAGAATGACCGTCTATACATAGGTGTGAGAAACTGTCTGAAACAACTGGTCACATAAACAATCTCTGGTTTTGCTGCATTATATAGTAAACAACACTCATGGATGGGTTTTGGACTGAAGGTTCAGATAAAATAAGCAAGCTGAGGGTGTCGTCTTTGGCTTTGACACATTAAAATGTCTCAGAGGAGCAAAATGTCTGCAATTTGTTGACATTTTTTTCCACAATATTCTCCCATGTTCCAGATAATTTGCCAGATTAACCCTCAAAATCCCATAACACACAGACAGGTTTAAAAAGCATGTTTGTTTTGTTTTTCAAACTGCCAAAACCACACCATATATCTGAACAACAAACTGAATAAAACTTTCAACTTTCTGATGGTCTATGAACATATCACGCGTACGGTGCAGTTCCATGAGAAAAAAACATTCCTAAAATTGAGATATTTCACAAAATCACTCCATTTTTACATAATTAATGTAGAAATGGTTTGCAACAGATTCTGTTTAAAAAAAAATAAAAAATCTGCACTCCTCAGTACAACTTAAAAGCCTCGATTCAATCAGCTGTGATCAACAGTCATGTTAGAAAAATTCACAGTTTTCAGGTGAACTGCAGGCAAAGAGGAGACGAGAGGAAAATCAAACATACTGGATCAATAAAATAACTGCACAATGGCTCAAAAAAAATAAAACTATACAAAAGGAGTAAGTTGTTGGAACACACATATTTGAGTTTTCTGTACTTCCAGTCATGGTTTTGCTGTTTCTATTACATTATATTGTAGTGAAAAATGAGCACAAAGTGAGTTTAAATGATTGATTAAAAGAAACAAAACAAAAAAAAACACCCAGAAACTGCTAATCAATTGTGAAAATCATTAGAATTGCAGTTCTAGTTTTATTGCTTTGCTATTTTCTCAAAGGTCAATGCAGGGCTAGTTAATGACACACATTGGGCAGGATAGGAATTAGACTAACCCAATTACTTAACAATGACTTTAGCCAGTCAGTGGCAGACCTTAAGACAATAGGCCAACCATCTGTTCCTCTCTGTATACTAAACAAGTCCCTGCCAGGCTTATTCACATGTAGCCTGCAGCCTGCACACGGCAATATGGGACATGCACACGCTTAAGATCATTTTCTGCCAAAGAAGAGTCCATAAATATACTGGTTCTTGGCCCGATTAGGAAACAAGGCCAATAAGGGCTAGTACAGAAACCACATTATGCTACTGTCACTCAAGTGGCTGCGAGCGTGTGCTTCACAGAATGCTGTATCTTGTATTTGTACAGTCTCTGGCTCTCCGCCATGTGGGAGCCACAAGAGCGCTTTAAAGCCCCTATTTTTATTCACTGATTCAGACTGGCTGGTTACAGAGGGAAGAGCAACTCCTCTACCCACAGGGAAGCTAATAAGTGACGCACAACTAAATGGATTAGCAGGATGCATCGTCCCCATCATCTGTCCCGTCCTGTCCTCGCAAAAATAAGAAACGTCTGAGAGCGCCTGCCAACAGCCAGTATCCGTGTGGCCGGCTGGAAAAGCTCATGAGCAATTTAGGAGAGATCCTTTCATCAGCTTAACGAGAACTTGGGCTGCACAATATATCGTTTCAGCATCAAGTGTGCAAAGGAAGTGCATCAAATCCAATTGACCTCGAACACATCATGAAAAAAACACCAGAAAACATGTCATTTTTAAATGGCTAATCTACAAGAAAAGTCTGTATAATACAACTTAATTAACAAAATGTGGTGTTTTTTAAACTTTACTCAGAAGACGTGGAGTTTACCGACATGCCGGCTTCACATAAGCACAGAAAAATGAGCAGGAAATAGACGAAAAAAACTAAAATGGAAGATTTGGTCACTAAAGGAAATGCAGCATCAGTTGTATGGAAATATTTTGGCGGAAAGATGAAAAACAGGTGCTTTTTCTGACCTGTCTTGCAATTGTTGCCACCACATGAGGCGACACAAAGACAAAAGCTTATTTTATTTAATATTTTCGAACTTTAAATGCAGATGCACTCCCCTGAACAATCACCTCAATCATACTTCTTTCCAAACAGTCAATTCCTGGACTGCAGATATTACAATGTCTGCTTTTTCCCCACAATACAGCCCTAGTGTCTGTCTATACTCAGAAAATAAGAAGCCACTGGAAAATTCATGAGCAATTCAAATGAGAAATTAGTCATCCTGAAGTCAGCTTTCATCAGCTGAGCTCAGACAGCAGGTTAAATGAATGGAGCCTGGTCTGCAGCTAAACAAGCACGTTGTGTCAAAGGAATGTAGAAAATCGATAAGATCACTGCTTGTTCTGATTGTAAAAAAATAAATAAAATAAAATACACCAGCTCATGTGTGAAACCTGGGGGAAAAAATAGGAACTGATGGGAAAAAGAAAAGTGATATTTGTCTTTGACACAAACGTGGACAGAAACGGACGGAGGAGGAAGAGGAGGGATGGAGCAGGCGAGGAAGGCGACGGGGAGCGACCGTTAACTTCTCACGGATGTGAACAGCAGCCATTGAATATTAATTTACCGACAAAATACACCCTTTTACCTCCGGCTGCTTCATTTTACACACACACCGAGTAACGGTCGCGAGGCTGCCGGCTTCCTAACAGTTTAGTCAACGTGGTCCCGGGAAATAGTTTTTTCTATACGTTATAAAAGAAAAAAAACAAGAAATGGTTAAATATAAACACAAACAGGATGCTAGCTACCGCCTCGTATGTGTAACAACAGCACCGGGGTTTAATAACTACACAGCTAAACAACCACCGCTCGGTTCATTTGTTAGGCTGGGAGCCTCGATGCTAACGAGCTAACGGGCTAACCGGGACCTGATGAAGCCGCGGCGGCCACATCTCGCCGTCTTCACCGCTGCAAAAATGCCAAACCGGTGTCTGCGAAGGCTCGTTTCAAGGCGACAAAAGAAGGAAGGTTTATCAGCTGTGTACCTGTCGGGGCTGTTGATCCCGAGTCTGCTGTTCCAGCAGTCGCCATTACTGTTTGACTGTTCACATCACCGACAGCCGACAGTTGAGTCCTGATGCAGCAGCAGCAGCAGCGCCGCAGCGCCACAGCGCCCCCAGCGGCCGGACGGGGGACGGTTTCAGTTTCAGTTTTACTGCGGCGAGGCAACAGTGCCTCCAAAAGACAACATTAAGCTCCATTTATATTCAAAAAATCCTAGAAATATATAGAGTTTCACAGTTGAGCCCAGAATTATTCATATCTATTCCAAATTTTGATTTTTACATTTGACCCATAGTGTATTTTTAAGGTGGAAGTGACATCAGCAAATGGCAAACACACAGAAGACATTAAGATAAGATATAAGATAAGATAAGAGAGAGATAAGATAAGCTTTATTTGTCACATACACATTTATACACGGTACAATGTGCAGTGAAATGTATTCTGTACCAGACTCCAGTTTCAATAAAAGAAAAAGAAAAAATACAATATAAATAAGTGTTAAAGAAGTATATATACTTTACACATGTATACATGGTACATAAGGTGCATATGTAAAAGGTGCCCGTGTATATTGCACAGTCCGGTTTGAAAGCTCAGAGTAGAGCAAACTGATGGCCTGAGGGGAGAATCTCTTCCTCATTTTCTGATGACTAGGCTCCTTCAGGATCTTCACAGTCCTTGACCTGCATCGTTGAGTGTAGATGTCCTGCAGGTTGGGGCGGTGGGTATCAGGGTGGACCTGATAGTGCACTCAGCTGGACGGACCACCCTCCTCAGGACCAAGAAGTCCTGCTTGGTGCAGCTGCCCATTCAGGTGGTCATGCTCCCACACATTGTGTTAGAGATGTTAAGGATGACATTTAAATATTTCTGTTTTGTTTTGGTTTGGTTTTTTTTGTTTGTTTTTTTTTTAAAAAAACATTTTTTACATAACATAAATAAATGAATAAAAAATGCAATACCTAAAAATATCCCAAATGTTAAAAAACAAAACAAAACATGTAAACAAAGGTCATAGAACTACAATTAGCATAAGCAAAATGGAAATAATAAAAAACAAACAAACAAACAAACAAAAAACCAAAGAGAAATAACCTCCTTCTAAATAACACCGCCATAATATAACTTTAGGAAAAAGTATTTATAAACACTGCACTAGTTTCCTTTTTTTTTATTTTGTGCAATAATTTATTTATTTTGTAATTTTTGTTCATATTGTGTTGCTTGTTTTCATATTCACTTTTTTATTTATTTTGTACGTAAATAAAACTTTTTTTAATATTGTACAATGCATTATTTATATTGTATTCTTTAATTTATGTCACTTGTTTCTTCAGTTTTATTTCATGTGTTGTTTATACTTAAATAAAGGTTTGAATACATGCATACAGTTTCTGTGTTGTTGTATGAAAATGAAGAGTGAACTTGACTGTAACGCAACGGGGCGCCAAACCGGTCCAGCTCTGGTTATAACCGCCAGAGTTAGTGAGACTCACTCATGGAAAAGATATTACAGTTATTTTTTAGATTTCTAGAGTCAAGTTTGTGTTTATCTGCTGTCCTAGTTTTTAAAAATGTTTGAATTCATACGATATTAAAACTTATAAATGGAAATAAAACAAACAAACAAACAATAAATATGACCTTAAGAAGATCAATTTGAAAACGCACAACTTTAAAACTGATGTTAAGTTAAAAATGTAATACTTTGTAATAAAATGTTTATCTGGTGGAGAATGCAACAGGTCACGTGACCACAGGTGAGTTCAGGGTCACCCCTGTGGGGTTTCGGGTGAGGTGCTGTCGGGCTACAGAGGAAACGACATGGAGCCAAAAAAAACAACGACTCTGCCCGGTCTGAGAGGCACACGGTAACTGTGACTTTTAAGTTGTATTTATTTCATTTGTTTGTGATATTAGTCCAAGTTTTGTGTGGACGGTTTAATGCATTGTTGGTGCGAGCTCGCGTCTTTGGACCCGTCTAATGACTGAAACTAGCTTGAAAGACTTGAGTTCGTCGAATTAGAGACACTCGTTTTGGGAAACTTTGTGTATTTAAAATGTTTTGCATTATCGTTATTGCCGTAGTTTTCGCGGTGTCTGCTGGCTGAGAGGATGTGTGATGCTTGGCCTTCATGTCGTCGGACCCGACTAGTTGCAGTGACCGTGGTTGAACGAGCTCCCATGGAGGTCAATGAGGCAGAGAACTGCTGCTGCACTCCTTCTAATATACAGATTGATGCCCGTGAACACATCATCAGTGATGTTTCCTGGACTGTTTCTTTCAGCATCATCACACCCAGTCAGGGTAGGTCAGGCCCGGGTTGTGTCCAAGTGCCGCCACCTACAGGTATTTATTACACAGCATGGTGAGATCAATCTTAAAGTACATGTACACATACAGTGTGAGTCAGATGTGAAACGTGTTGGATTAATGTCATCAGCAATAATGATCAGGTTTCTCTTCATGTAATTCTGCATTTTCTAGAAACATCATTCCACCTGCAGCAGTCCTGTTTTTTGCCCACAGCTGCTGTGAGTCAGATTCTTTCCTCTGACTTTAATAAACACCTACACCTTCACACAGCAGCTTCTTTGCGCACATTTACACGCGTGGCACAGCAGCAGTAACTTCATTAAGATCCATCCATCCATCCATTATCTATACACCGCCTAATCCTCACTAGGGTTGCGGAGGGGCTGGAGCCTTTCATTAAGATCCGAATATCAATAATATTCAGTCACTTGTACACACCAGACATGTCAGCTGTTCCACACAGATTCCAGATTTATTGGTGAAGTTATTTGGATTAAACTGTCTCTGGATGAATCCTGAACTCCATCAGAGCTGTCAGGACAGTTTTGTTGAGATAAGCTGCCATTATGCACGAAATCCCATTGTACTGTTTTGACTAAAGTTATGTGGTGTCTGACTGAATATTTCACTTATTCACAGATTTTCGTGAAGATAAAGGTTGACTTGGTCCAGCTGCAGATAGAACTCAGCGTGTCATGTGATGCTGTGTGTGGACGTATCAGCTGCTGCAGGATGATTTTATTCAATAACTGCCTTTTCATGATCTTTTTGCCACTATGATGCTTCAATCAGAGGCTGATCTTATCAGAAAAAGTTCAGATCCCTTCAGGCCTCCGTACATTTCTGACAGCTGATGGAAACTCATGCGCATCCACTGAAGAAAAAAAAATCAACTTTCGACACAAAGGAGTTGACAATATCGATCATTTATTTAGATTCATGTTAAAATTGGTCAAAAACACTCGCGTGCGTGCATCATTTGAAGCCATAGCAACAGAATGGACGCACACCTATAAATGGCCTGCACCTCTGCTCGTCAGACCCCTTTGCACTTGCATTGGCACTTGACCGATTGCTGGAAAGCCTTGCTGGAAAGCTTTGTTGGACAGTCTTGTTGGATTCAACGCCAGATAGCAGCTACAAACCAAACCCACCTGAAGAAGCAGCTCAGCGGATCAGCAGCAGCAGCAGCAGAGCGACCTGTCAGAGAAGCCCCCCAGCCGGAGAGACACATCTGTGGTTCGGACACCTGCCAGACCAACCGTCAGCATGAAGGTAAGAACATTTATTTCATGCTTTTCTCTGATCTCACTGAACACTTTGAAGGCGGTTTCAGTCCAAAAGTGAGAATAATTAGTTGAATGTAAAGTTTGTGAAGCAGCAGAATGTTTGAGGGCCTGTTTGATGAACACTTTGGCTCATGCTGATGTTTTCTTGTTGTAAAAGTCTTATGTCTGAGTTTCGGTGTATAAACTTCTCGAGAAATGTGTTAACAAATCGGTAGCGATTTGATAAAAGTGTTGTTTTGTTTTAGGGTCGTTATTTTTGTCAAAATGCGCATCGAAAGTTTTGTGGACAAAATGGCGACTTGACCATTTTTCAAAAAATGCTCCAAATTGAATGTTTCGCTGAAGGTCCTGAGACTTTGTTTTTAAGGTTTCTGCTTTAAAATTCATTTATTTATGATGTGGATATTGATGTAATTGTGCTGAGAGAAGGAAAATTACAAATGTATATGTTAACTGTGAAAAACATTTTTTAAAAATGGTATTTTATAAATGGTGATTTGTTCTTTTACGTTTGATGGTGAATTCAATTTTTTGAAATGTTTTTTTTTTATTTGGCAATGGAGGGCTAAAAATAGTAAATAATTTCTGTTTAATTTTGTGTTAAATGCTTAAAACAAAATGGCGACTGGGCCATTTTTAAAAAATGCTCAAAATCGAATGTCGAATTTGAGAATCACTGAAGGTCCTGACAGCCTCGGTTTAAGGTTTTTGGTTTAAAATCCATTTAGTTATGATGTGAATGTTGATTTAATTGTCCTGAGACCCGGAAAATTCTGAATTTACATGTTAACTGTGAAAAACATCACAGGTGAAAACAGGTGAATTTAACGCATATTTAAATATGTTATGTAAAGATTTTATCGCTGCTTTTTAAATAACACAGACTGGATGGAAATCCGTCTGTGTGATGCTATAACTTCTGTTAAACTGCAAAAAATGTGTGTTTCCAACTAAAAGAAACCCCTCATTTGCACATTTTGCTTTATTATAAGTGACCATCATGTTCACAGCAGGTTGCATTTAAAACAAGCAGCAGCAGAAGCCGTGGATGTGAGACGACACACAGTAAAGCACGCACAAGAGACGTTCTTAAAAGTTTTTATTAGAACTGTTGCATATAATTTTAACTATAAAACTATATAAAAAGAAGAAAACTAAACGTAAAGCCCCGAAGGAATCTATAAATTGCATCGATAATCAAAAATTCAAAGAGCAGCCTATAAAACATAGTGGTACAGTGACACAGACGGCAGTCTGCCATTAACACTTTGCATTTAACAATATATTTGTTTAATTATAAACGGTAGCAGTGCTTCTTGTGTGATCTCAAATAACTGTAAATAACACTGGCAGCAGATGAAGCTGGAACTTGGTCCACACTTTTGAATATTGCTTTCATCTTATAGACCTGTAATTTCCCTGTCAGGTCAGCAGCTAAAGGTCAGATGGTTTAGGAGAGAGGGCACGTCTTCCTCTGCTTCTGACGCACGGCGTTGGTGGCTTTGCTGATGGCGTTCATGAGGATTTTGGAGATGCACTGCGGCGTCTCCTGCGAAGGCAGCTTGCAGCAGTGACGGACAGTCGCAGGAGAGCGGCCGCCCGATAAACACAGCTTCTTTGAAGTTTCCTCCAGCTGATTTCATGCAGCGAAAACGGAACAAATAGGTCAAATAGTCCACCCAAGATGGGATAAACTGGAATAAAAACTTGTCTTGTTTTGCACAGACTCACTGCTTTCTAACTCACCTTTTGCGCAAAACACGCAGTCCTCTCTACTTCCGGCAGGCGGCAGCATTGTTTCACAATGGACTTCACTGGGAAGCCGACAGGGAACCTAGAGCACAGTCACGCTGTTACTGCAACTAACAGTTATTTACTAGTTGTTTGGTTATAAAATGTCAGAAAATGGTGAAAAATGTCCATCAGTGTTTCCCAAAACCCCAAATATTCCCAAAGATGTTCAGTTTACTGTCACAGCAAAGGAAATAAAACAGAAAATATTCACATTTAAGACAAAGAATCAGAGAATTTTCCTTCATATTTACTTTCTATTCTATTTATTCATCAGTGCTCTTTTGCCACTTGCCATGTAAACATCTCACTGCAGGTTCATCTGCTTTTGTAAGCAGCAGGATTTCGCAGATGTAGATGTGTTTTCAGGAATGCAGTTTGGTCTTCACATTGTGGTATTTTAACCATTTAATGCTACAGAGTGTTTTCTAACTTAGTGCATGTTACTGAGCAGAAGAATGCTTTGGAGGATTTGTTAGAAAACCGTTGGCCTGATAAAGCTCTGGCACCGAAATGCCACAAAAAGTGTGTTTTTGCAAAGTTTGCAGGAATGGTTTTGAAACTCCTTTTTTAAAAGAAATGACTGAGATGATTAATGGAGTGTTGAAATAGTTGCTGATTAATTTATTTGTTGACAACTAATCGATAAGCAGCTTTAATTGTTACTGATGCTGTCTTAATTACAGATTGTGCACATGTACATCTCAATACTGAAAAAACTTACCGGAGCACATGGCACATTTTAGCAAATTTCAGTATCTTTAGAAGTCTGAGATTTGTTTATTTTTTCCAACAAGGAACGACCAAGAAAGAACAGAAACTGTACGCAAGGAGAGAAAACAAAGAAAAGATCGGAGGGATGCAGGGATAGTGTTTTACCTCTTGTCGATGACTTTGTGAGTGTCGCAAATGTTGTTCAGCGACAGCTCCTCGGGGGCGGAGGTCTTATTGTAATGCGGGTCTGGAGACATCGAGTGGAAGCAGCTGTATCGGTCGGCTGGACTCTGGCTCGAACAGCAGCTGAAATCGGCCTGCTCGCCGTTCTCTGCCGAGCAGAACCTGTCGATCTCGTCGCTCCACTGAAATGAGAATCAAAAGTTAATCAGAATACTAGAGCAGGATGTGTGTGTTGATTCTGGGTCATGGAGGTAATCTGAAGAGCAACTGAAACAGGTGAAAAGTCTCCAAGAACCAAAGTCAGGTCCAGCTGAAGCTCTTCCAGCAGGCTTCTCGCTCTACCTTCTGGTCGACGCAGCTGAGCACATCCTGCTTCTTTTTGCAGCACTGTTTGAAGCCCTTCTCGATGCGGTTCACGGTCTTGGCCTGCCGGGCCAGCCACCCGAAGCCCGAGCGTGGCAGACACCTGGTCTGATAGAGGGGGCGGAGCGTCTGGTGGCTGCACAGCGACTCAATGGCGTCGGCGGTTGGTCGCCCAGGAGGGAAGCTGATGTTGACGTTCTGGGAAGCGGGTGCTTTCTTCGCCTTCTTTTTTCTGATTACTCTGGCGCTGTAAGGAGTCATCTGAGTCCTGTGATGAATGAGACATGAGGTCAGAGCCAAAACATCACCTCCTTCGTTTAAAACTAAAAGTTCTGCAATGTGGCTTCCTCCAACACCCTCCTGTGATTCACTTCTCTTTGAGTCGCTTTCTTTTAGTTTGTCTGAAAGGATACAGCTGCTGTTCCTGGTCTTTCATCAGAATGGAAACCAGTCTGTTGATTTTTAACCTGTTTTTACTACGACTGTTTTTCTGGCAGAACATTTTTGCAGAAACATTTTCCTGCAGCTGTTGTTCTCATACAGTTTATCTGCACAACCATCCACCAAATATTCAGTGTCATTGTCATTTAAAAGTCTAAAAATGCATCTGTTTGTACTCGGCTTTATTAGTTACCCCTCTGGACTTCGAGTACGTTCTGGGTATTTGTTGCTACCGTCATATTTTCCCTCCCCGTGGGCTCATTTTTCACTGCAACATAAAGTCCTGCACCTCTATGGAAACAGAACAACCGTGACTAGAAGGAGAGAGAACTCATAAATCTCTTTAGTCCACCTTAATAATGCACGAATCATAAAAAAAATGTGAAAAAGATGATAAAATCTGGAACAGGCATTCAACATGAAATGATATCCACATTGGCAACTTTCCACAAACCCTTTCTAAAGTGCTGCGAAGTGGTTAGAAGGCATTCGTGGATTGTTTTTTTTAACTGTTTGACTGGTAAATAAAGCAGCATTCACCCACACAGCCCTTCCATATTCCTGCCAAAGACATAAATCCTTAGAAATATTTCTAATTTTTTCTTTACAAAAGGGGTGAGTAGTTGTGTCGGCTTAAGTTGCACAAAAAAATATGCTTTAATTTAGAATTGCTTCCTCGTGATTTACAGGTTTTTATTTGGACAAAAGCTGCAAGTGGTTACAGTCTGGATCTGTTGCTACCGTCTGTTCCCAAGGCGAGGACAGAACAGGGAAGGAAAGCTTTTAAATTGGCTGCTCCCTCTACCTGGAACACTTTACAAAAAGACCCGAAACTGCAAGAGCTGGTTTCTTTCAAACACTTTTAAAGTGTTTAGAAATGACTTGGAGGCAAAAACATCAGTCTGTAGATGTTTTGACAGATGATTATTTTTGCTAGTTATGTTTCTGGTCTCTGCTGATATGTTCGTTTCTTATCCTCTAAATGTAATCACACCGTGTATTATGAGTAATGATGTGTGTGTGGATGCTGTTGTCTGTCTGTGATGCTGCTGCTGCCTGTCTTGACCAGGACACTCTTGAAAAAGAGATTTTTAATCTCAATGAGCCTTCTGCTGCTTAAATAAAGGTTAAATTAAAATAAATAATAATAATAATAGCATCTGTTTATTGTTGGTTTTTGTCTTTTTATGAGATTCGTTGACAATGACAAAAATAAGTGTTATTGCAGGACATCTTTTGAGGCACTGGCTTCATTTAGTACTATGTAGGGCTGTAATGAAAGATTATTGTCATGGTCGATCAAACTGTTGATTATTTTCACGATTCATCAATTAGCTGTTAGAAAATGTCACAGCTTCCCAAAGTCCAAGACAACCCAAAGATATTCAGTTGACTCTCATAGCAAACCAGAAATCCTTCACATTTAAGAAGCTGAAATCACAGAGTTTTGTTTTCTTAACAAAATTACCCCAACTGATTCATTGATGATCAAAACAGTTGCTGATCCATTATATATTGACAATTAATCAATCAACTGGTGCAGTTCTACTTCTGTAGCTGCTGATTTCTGTTTTGTTTTCGTGCATAAGATCCCATAAAGGCTTAATTCACAAGCATGAGAGAGAAAAAAACAGGATCGTTCTGTTTCATTTCAGTAGTTTAAAGTATTCTCCTGCTTACCTCCGGCAGGTGTTTGGGTCAAAGCTGAAGCTGGTGGTAGGAGGAATGGCCTCCACCGGCAGCACCTCCGTCGGCTCGTAGTTCGGGTTCGGAGAGTCCCTGTCGAAGCAGTTCAGTCTATCAGCGCCGCGCAGTTTACAGCAGTTGTACAGGCGATCTTTGACTGACGAGTCCTCTTCACAGAACGTTTCCACAAACAGCTCCCACTGCAGAGAACACAGGAAAAACACAGACAGACAGTCAGGGTGCATGAATTAAATCCTCTAACAGTGACGCTAAGTCTGCACGCCGAGTAAAATGAACCAGCTGCTCTTCATCCAAAACTATAAACAACCCAGGAAGGAGATTAAAGGTAATTCTTCACCAATTCACTGAAGAATTTAGTTCAGGTTTGTTGCTTCACTGGTGCTCATGCCAGGGCCCGTCTGTTATGTCTGGCTGGGCCGCATTAAATAAGCTTATCAACTGAAACCGCCCAAGGCCTCCAACTTTTGTCTGAGAAATGCAAGCACCACCATCTCTGCAATGTGAAGAATGTTTCGTGGTCTTTTAATAATCAGGGTGAATTAAAAACATGCAAAGAAAGGACACTGTGTTTGGTACTGCTTTACAGAACATAAGGCTGCCAGTAACATGACAGGCTGTTTCCATGTGAGGAAGTGAGGGGGGGGTAAACTTTATTGCATGTTGGTTTTTAATATGAAATAATATCGGTGTGGGATCCAGTTTCATCTCGGCAGTGCAATACCACATATTGGGGTTTTCATCATGTTGCCCTGATTGTGGAACATGTGACGCTCTGCACAGAAACCACATGGCTTCCCCTTTAACATTTCAGAAGTTACCTTTTATTCTCTACAAAGTTTGGTTCTGATCGACTTCTCAGAGACAAGAACCCCTTATTCTGCACCATGACCCCTTAGTTTAGCTATAATACCATCCACAGTCCAGCTATAAAACAAATAGGTGTCATGCATTTACGTATTCAGCCCCAATGCTTTGGAACAAGCTCCCCTTTATTTCTGGTGCTTACTAAACCTTATATCAACTAAATGTCAAATTATTCACAGTTTTTAATGCTAGAATATTTCTCTTCTTCCAGCTTCTACAGACTGGGAGTCATCTAGTCAGCCAGTATTCTGGTTTATCCTCAGACATTCATCTATAAATGTCATCAACACCTTTTATCATGATGCTGCCACCTCCGTGCTTCACTGTCAGGACCACGCATCAACTGTGGTGGTCCTGGTCAAGTTCACACCAAACATGCTGGACTCCATCTGAGCACAACTAATTTATGTTGGTCTGATCTAACAAAAGAAAATGCTCTCAATACTCATTACGCTTCTCTTTATGTTCTTTAGCAACGTTTTATTGTAGTTTTATACAGAACATCAAGCAAACGTGTTTTTCTTGGACACTGTTCATAGAGGTTGATGTCATGAAGTGTCCTTCACACTGTCTGAGCTTCACAGAAACTCTGATTTCCATTGATAACCCCTGTACCAAGTCTGCTGACATGCAGATAGACACAGCCAGGAGGTTCAAAACTTAATTCTAATGATAACAGCTAATTTTAGAACCACGTTCATGTGGTTGGAAATAGAGCTTCTACTTTGTGGTCTGAATTTTCAACCCAGTCCATCTAAAGCATCTATTTGTGGTTGTTTATATGTGGAAGTACTCTGCTGTTCAGCTTAGAAATAATGCAAATATCTAGAGGGGATCCAATTTTGATCATCATTTGACATTTATGTGATATTGCGCAAAACATCATCAGCAAAATGGAATAAATCAAAAGGGACGAATTAAGGCAAGCAGATGCTGTCATTTTACATTTATACACAGCAAAACAAAAAAAAATTGCTGAGTCGGCTATAGAGCCGTTGTGAAAACTCACCGCCTGCGTGGCGCAACACAGCGTCACTTCTCTCTCCCACGTCTGGTTTCCTTGGCAGCAAGTGTCGAACCAGGACTCTGCGTTGTTTACGCCGCTGGCTCTTCGCCTCAGCTGGCCAAAACCTGAGGCAGGGAAGTAAGAGTTCGGGTAGCGAGGACGATGGTCTCTATGGAGACAGATGGCTTGGAGGTTGTTGGACGTCGGTCGGGCGAGAGGAAACTGGACGCGGTAGTTCAGCGCGGGAGGACCGCCGAAGGTACGAGGCCCGAAACTCGGTGGACCTTTGAGAAAACAAGAGATAGATAGATAGATAGATAGATAGATAGATAGATAGATAGATAGATAGATAGATAGATAGATAGATAGATAGATAGATAGATAGATAGATGTCTTACCTTGCTCTCTCTGGTTAGGTTTTGGCGGAGACACCCTCACCTGCTCTACGGGAAACTCTGAAAACAGACGAAGCAAGAAGTGAAAGAAGATCAATGCAATCAGCAATTATTTAATCTGAGCAGATTGAGACTTTCAGAGGTTGTTTCCATCAGCGGTTCGTCCGGTTTGACTCACATCAGCCAAGCCTTGTTATTTAACAGCCACACCTTTTGAGTTCAAGCTATCGTGCGTCAGTGGTTTTACAGATCTGTGCCCTTGTGTGGTGACGCATCGTCGCTTTATGGCTGCGTGACATTGGAGAAAACTGACACGGTGGCATTTTGTTTTTCTGCGATATATGTTAAAAACCTACAGGAATTTCCACCAGATGACTTGAATAACTTTTGTTTTGAAAGATTAATCATTCTAGAAATGACTGGAGGGGTTTTGAGGGAGTGCGTCCACAATGACAATAAAAACATTGGAACTTTTCTCATTTGGTGCAACACTGGCGGAGTCATCCAAAATGGGTTTTGTTTTTTTGCTTCGTTCACATCTGGCCTTGCGCTCTTAGCTTTGTGCTGCTGATTTAAATGCTCTAATAAAGAAGTTGTGCTGCTTTGTGTGGTGGCAATAATTCCAATACACTGCTAACAAATAAAATCTGCTTTTGATGAATGTCATTCTTTCTGTAGCCAAAACTATTCCAGAGAACTGATTTGTTTTTGCAACCGAATGCCCCTTTTTTATTGTTTCTCACTTGTTTTTCACTTGCACGTGGCCTCTGCATGTCAACAACATCTGTGTCTTGTAAACACAAGAACCCTTAAATCTGAATAAATGATGTTCTATCTGTCTCTTGCATAATTGTCATGACAAATGAGAAATGTGCAACTTTTCTTTCCCCGTGCAGCAGAAACGTTGCTGCTTTATGTGTTATTTGCCTAAATACACATCACAATGCGAAAACAACATATTTTGAATCTATTATACAAAGAATATTGAACCGAAGCTCCACTTTTAAATGATATACCACGACTCAAATTGCAATATCTGTCAGAAAAAAATGCACTTAATGAGATTGTTTCTATTTTCTAACGCCAAAACAAAAGAAAACAAACGATACCTTTAGGATCCAAGAGCTCCGACAAGTCCACCTCTTTCTGCAGCATGAACGGTTCTGGTTCCACTATCTCTGAAAGACACAGTTCAAATTTTAAAAACACTGATGTGCAACGGAAACATGCTCTTTATCAAGTAAAACACCAGACAGACAGGAAGACGGATGTTTATGCTGCATTTATGTACTTAAAACTGACCCACATCAACTAAATACACGACCAAAGTTCGCCCATAAAACAAAAACATCTACACTTGGAGGCAGCCTGCTCCGGTGATTTATTTCCACCGAGAAGAAAGCCAAGAAAAACAGGACAAACTTTGGAACGCTCTCTCCAGAGTCACGGCAGATATTATACAACCATGTCTAAACATTAAGTAGAACTCCTTCTGGAGAGCAAACAGATCTAAAATTAGCACTACTTTGACTTCATGTCCCAACACATCAACAGAAGCAGAGAGAAGTGACTCTGAACATTAATGGGTTCTTGTGGGGATGCCGCAGTAGCGTGTGAATGCACAAAGACACACCTTGCATGATTTGGTCAAGGTCGAAGGTGACCTCTCGCTGCTGGGCGAGGTGCTCATCTGGAAAGTTGTAGAGAGTGAGACAAAGTTACGCAACTCTGCATCGTTTTGTTATGGACAAGTTATACAAAGAGGCTGCCATGGAAGCAACGAGCAGCGACAGCACAGAGAGAAATACTGGTTACAGGTTACAAGTTACAGGTATGAGGTGTTAAAGCAGGCTTCTCAGGGATGCTTCTAAATTTACATTATTTCTAAGTTGAGTATCATGTGAACAATCAAAAACAAACACTTTAGAAAGAGTACATCGAAAACTCAGGCCCTCAATGCAACAAAAGTGAATTCACCTGCAAACAACTGGCATAAACGTGGTTCTAAAATGAGCTGTGAGCAGCAGAACCTTCTCAGTTTGGGACCTACAGGTTGTGTCTATCTGTATCAACGCTCCACGAGTAAAAGAATCAACGAAAATTAGTCCAAAAATCTGACTGTGAGACCTCACAAAGATGGAAAATGATACAGAAAGATCCACTAAAAGATTGTTGTGGCAGTAATCAGGAGGTCTAGAAGGAGCCATAGTAGCACTGATCAGGGCTGCAGTGGTCGTCCTCCTACAATGACTCCACAGACAGTCAACTACTTTCATAATCTACCTCTAAAGAACGGACGGCGGCTGCTTCAGACTTGGCACAAGGAAATCAGAGTTTCT